GCGCCTGCAGCTGCTGATGCTGGCGCTGCGGCGGCCGCAGCAGCTGCGGCGGCTGCTGGGCGAGCTGCCGGCGCTGCGGGAGGTGCACCTGTCCTTCAGGGGGGCGGAGGGGGAGCAGGCGGAGGCGTGGCAGGAGGAGGCAGCAGCGGCAGCAGCAGCGGACGAGGAGGCAGCAGGGGAGGGCGGGGAGGGCAGTCCCGCGGGTCTGGCTGTCTGGCTGCCGCTGCTGCGGTGCGGGCGGTTGCGGGAGGTGGCGGTGCACGCGGGGGCAGCGGGGCTGCTGCCGCTGAGCGCCCGCCTGCTGCCGGCGCTGCTGGCGGGCTGGGGGCAGCTGGCGGCGCTGCAGTACAGCGGCGTGGGCTGGAGGGGGCTGCAGGGAGCGGGTGGGGGCGGCGGGGGGGAGCTGCTGTTGCCGCCTGGGACTGGGACAATGACAGCGACGACAGCAGCAGCAGCAGCTGAGCTGTACGGCGGTGTCGCCCGCGTCAGCACACCAGCTGGCGCCGGCGGGGGCTTGCTCCCCTCGCGAGCGGTGACGCCGGGCCAAGGGGATGCGGGTGCCAGCGCAACACGTGCCGCCGGTGCGAGTGCCGTACCGGTGGCGCCTCTGACGCCGCCGCCGCCCCCGCCAGCTGCTGTGTCTCCCTCCTCCTGCCCCGCCGCCCGCTGGTGCTCGCTGCAGGTGTTGTCGCTAGGCAGTATCCCGCCCGGCCGCCGCTGGGGGGGTGCTGCGCCGCATGCGCTGCGGCTGGGGTGGCTGCCACGGGGGCTGCGGGCGCTGTCGCTGCTGGGGCTGGTGCTGCGGGCGGGGGGCGGGGTGGGGGGAGCGGAGGAGGGGGGGTGGGAGGGGGGAGGCGGGGAGGGAGTGAAGGAGGAGGTGGTGGAGGAGGAGGGGGCGCTGCTGCTGCCGCCCCGGTTGGGGCTGCTGTCCCTCCGCTTCTGCAGCTGGCAGGTCCCGGGCGTGAGGTGCGGCGGGGGGCACTGCAAGGATAGGCCGCTGTGCCGGGTTGCCGGGATTGCTGCATGTGGGTCGTGTCGAAGACGTCCGAGCCGCGCCGCCATGAACACCCCATGTAGGCCGGGGCAATAACCGCCACAGTGCCCTGCCGTACAACCACTCATTGTCTTGTTCCCTAACCGCATACCCAAACCCACCCTTCCCCCTCCCTCCTCCCCCCTGCAGCATGCTGCATGCAGTGGGCCGCTGCCCCTCCCTGCTGCTGCTGCGGCTGGCCTGGACCGCCCCAGACCCGCCCTGGCAGAACAGCACCGCCGCCGCACAGGCGCCGGCGCAGGGAGGGGGGCAGCAGGGAGGGGAGCAGCAGGGAGGGGAGCAGCAGGGAGGGGAGCAGCAGGGAGGGGAGCAGCAGGGAGGGGAGCAGCAGGGAGGGGGGCAGCAGGGAGGGGGGCAGCAGGGAGGGGAGCAGCAGGGAGGGGGGCAGCAGGGAGGGGAGCAGCAGGGAGGGGAGCAGCAGGGAGGGGAGCAGCAGGGAGGGGAGCAGCAGGGAGGGGAGCAGCAGGGAGGGGAGCAGCAGGGAGGGGAGCAGCAGGGAGGGGAGCAGCAGGGAGGGGAGCAGCAGGGAGGGGGGCAGCAGGGAGGGGAGCAGCAGGGGGGCCGGCAGCAGCACGGTCCCCAGCAGGCGCCACTGCAGCAGCAGCAGCAGCAGCGGCAGCAGCAGTGCGCAGTCAGTGGCGGCAGCAGCGGTCCAAGCTCCTGTGGTGCAGGCGGGCGGGATGGGTCCGGGGACCTAGCTGCTGCAGGTGCGGCTGGGGAGGCTGCTTGGCGGTGGCTGGGGGCCCAGCTCAGGGAGCTGGAGAGCATGGAGCTGGGCTGCTGGCCGGGGGAGGAGGCGGAAGGGAAGGAGGAGGAGGTTGAAGGGGAAAAGGAGGAAGAGGAAGGGAAGGAGGAGGGGGCGGGGGGCGGTTCCCAGATGGGCAGTGCGGGGCGGCCCGCTGCCGCTGCCGCCGTGTCAGCCGCTGCGGAGTGCGAGGCCGTGCTGGCGGGTGTGGTAGCGGGGCTGTGCGGCGGCTGGTCGGGCGGGGGGTTGAGGAGCCTGCAGCTGAGTGCCCAAGCGCCGGGGGGCTGGGGGGAGCAGGTGGGCTGGGGGGAGGGGTGGGGAGGTTTGGTATGTGCTTGGCTCCTGCGTAACACGCTGACCTTGTGCACGAGAAGTGGTGGACATGCAGCTCTTGAGCTGCCTCGCCATGCCATGGTACCGAGCCGGGCATTCATGCCCCCTTCCTCTCCCGAGGACCCGCACCCCTCCCCCCGCCCCTGTTCCCCCACACCCCGCACCCCCACCTCCGTTTCGCCCCCAGGTGGCGTGGCGGCAGCTGGCGCAGCTGGAGTCGCTGGTGCGGCTGGAGCTGCGCGGGCTGGCGGGGCGGGCGGCGGGGGCGGTGGCGGAGGTGCTGCGGGGGGCGCTGCCGCTGTGCAGGTGTGGGTGGGGGGAAAATTATATAAAAGTGAAACAACGAATCCCAATCCCATAGCCCGGGTGGGGGGGGTGGCCGGGGGGCAGAGACAACGCAAAGGGGGGCGGGGGAGGTGGGAGAGGAGGCAGGAGCGAGGGGGTGGGGGTGGAGGCGGGCAGGACGTGCATGTGCCATGGGGGCAAGGAAACGCGGGGATGGGCCCCTGATCCGAACTTGTGATATCTGCAATGAACTAAGCAGTAACCTAGTGAAAGCAGTGCAGAGCGCCCTGCAAGGTTTCGCATCAGGAGCGTACGTGTGTGCGCTGGGTTTGCGGGGGTCAGCGCGGGTATGCGGGGTTAGCGCGTGAGAGCACTTGAGAGTCGTGTCCGCCCCGTTGTCTCCCCGCCCCCGCCCATCTCTGTCCCGCTCTCCCGCCTTTCATCCGGCCCTCTCCCCACTGCACCCTTCCCCTCTCCCCTCCCCCCTTCCCTCCGCAGGTCCTCCCTGCATGTGGACAATACGGGGGAGCTTGAGGCGCAGCTGAGGCGGGTGGACGACCTGCTGCGGGAGCTGGGAGGCGGGCGGGAGGAGGGAGGGGAGGAGGGAGGGGAGGGGGTGCAGGGTGGCGCAGAAGGGGGAGAGGGTGTGGGGGGAGCTGGTGGTGGGGCTGCTGCAGGTGGGGCGATGCCAGGTGGCGGCGCTGCTGGCGGGGTGGTGGGTGCGCATGCGGGGGGTGGAGCAGGTGGAGTCGAGGGTGCAGGAGGGGAAGGGGGTGAAGGCGAGGCTGCAGGGGGGGCCGCCGTGGGTGAGGAGCAGGAGCAGCAGGAGGAGGACGCCGAGCTGCTGGCTGAGTTGGAGCAGCTGGAACAGCAGCTGGCGCAGGAGGAGGTGGGGCAGCATGGGGGAGGAGGAGAGTATGGTGCGGTCGATGATGATGTGGGAGTGTAGTTTAGGGCGGTTGCATGTGCAGGGAAGATGACACTAATGAGATGTACACGCTGCGCGCGGCGCATCAGGGCGTGCCTTACCTAACATTCGGTATACCGGCATTTTCCTTTATGACGCGACGGCACGACATGGGAGGTGGGCGACAGCAGGAGAGCAGCAGCAGCTGTAGTTATTACGAAACATGGTAGGGCGCACGTATATCGTCTCTAGGTACTTGCATTTAGCTGCAGACGTGTTGCGAACGCCCCAGTCAACGACCTGACGAGCGTCTTGTGCTCCGATACCGCCAAAAGCTCGTACATGCTAGGGACAGCATGCGCGCACCAAAAAGCTTGTGGAAATGATGTATTGTTTTGCTCTCATCCGCAGAAAGCTTTGCACCTGTGCTGGTAATTACGTTTGGCTTTTCGTGCATTGCACTCCAGAAGAAGTTCAGTACCACAGGTCCATAGCTTCTTTGTAGCATATGCTGTACTTCTGAATTCCCAAGATGGCGAACTTGCTTGGCTCTTCGTCGGCACACCTTGCAGGACGTTTTTCGGTGCGTCCACAATGGGGTTCGTCAGTTGTTATTAGCAACGTATCAACCTAAAATATACCCGTACAGGCGCAAGGGTTTCACGGCGGTACGCAAAATCGTCAGAATGCCAGGTAAGGGCTTATAAGGCTATTGGAACTGCCGACCTTCACGTGGGGCTTGTGGTTGTTACTTCGGCCCGAACCCCACCACCCACATTTTCCTGATGCACTGCAGGTGTCAGAGGTGCTTGCAGCCTGGGCACTGGACCTATGAATGCAAGAATGAGGCAGCGTACTCTGCCCGTCCCTCCCGTACACAACAGTTGAAGCAGCCAAAGGTGCGCAGTGGTCGACTTCGGATTGAACCGAGCAAGCAACAAGTCCGCTCCCATCCCCCAACTACATCACCATCCTCTCATCCACCAGCCTTGCGCAACGTTGGTCCCTGCACTGAAGTGTAGCCCCCAACCTGCAACGCGATGTGCCACGCCCTTCACCAGATAGATATCCGTTCAGCAGTACACTGACCCGGTAGTCCCGCTCGCGCCGCCCTCCCCCTCCTCCTCCCCTCCCTGCCCGCTCAGGCCAAGCAGCGCTTCCTCTCCGCCGACGAGGTGCCGCCGGAGTTCCGGCCCCGGGAGGAGGAGGCCAAGCAGCAGCGGGGCGCGGAGGCGGGCTCCCGAGGCGCGAGGCGCAGCAGTGGGCGCGATAAAGAGGAGCGGCGCAGGAAGCGGCGCCGCGCCTCCCCTTCTTCCTCCTCTTCCTCAGACGACAGCTCTTCGTCCTCCTCCGATGACAGCAGCAGCAGCGGCTCTGATTCAGACTCGGATCGCAGCTCTGGAAGCAGCGGCAGCAGCACTAGCAGCGGCAGCACCACCAGCAGCGGCAGCAGCAGTGACACGTCTGACTCGGCGTCCAGCGGCAGCAGCAGTAGCAGCAGCGGGAGCGACGACTCGAGCACTAGCAGCGGAAGCAGCAGCGATAGCGACAGTGACTCGGGCGACAGGCGGCGGAGGGATCGCAGGAGCCATAAGAAGCGGCGATAGCGCTGCGGGCGGCTTTGACTGGCTTTGGTGTTACAAGGGGCTCAGGACGAACTGCAGTAGGGTCTGGAGGATAGCAACAGTACCAGCGTTGTTACGCTTCGTATCGCATTGAGCCTGGTACTTGCATGCACATGGGCAGATGGGTGTTGGTGGCTGCGGGGCCGACCGGGGTGTTGTTACACTACCAGAGTGCCGGGAGGTACCCCCCGGGTCGTTGTGCGGTCCCACAAGACCGGTAATACAGGGACACGACCTGATGATAACAGAAATGACAAGGACCGCGCAGACAAGACCACTCAGTTGTAGCAGAGGAAGCCATAGGCCATTCTTGTTCCAGAGGCAGCCGGTGCTGTTACTCCAAGGCCTCGGGCCCTTTTCCTCTTACCGGTATCCTATGTATATTGTTCTATACAACGAGAGGGGGCAGCAATGAAGCCCTGCACGGTGAGGGCACGAACCATACACTTGCCACGGACTCTACCCACCAGCTACCCATGCAACCTGTCACACGGTCCGTTAGCTTCGTCCTTATTTCCCGTTCCGGAACGCACCGCACCACACAGGTCACTAGTAGCGCCAGGCCATTTCGGCGGCATTTGTTGGAAGCGTCAGAACTCGAAGAGAGGGGGGCGGCAAAGGGCGTCACCACCGCGGCAAGCAATGACAAGTTGCCTGAGCGCAACACGCACACAGCCCACAAATAAGATGAAGGCCAAATGCTGGAAAACACAAGCCCTACAGAGCTCGTGCATATTTGTGGAAGAGAAAGGGTATTGTTCAGGCAGAGTTTGAATGAGACAAAAGACAGGTGCGCGCACGCAATCGCACGACAGTCCTCATAACAATACATAAATCGGGCCGAATGCTGTTTAGGCGCGCATCTCAGCGTGTCGGGTCCCATACGGCGGCGGCAGCAGTTGCAGCGCCCCGCCTCACTCCACCGCCCCAGCTGCTCCTCTCTCCGGCCGGTTTTCAGCGCTTAAACCGCACCACTACACAGCTGATGTTGTCGTTGCTGCCCCGGTTGTAGGCCTCCTGTGGAACGGAGGATTGGGTTTACAGCTTTGCTCAAAACCGCTTTCAACCCCTGGAATTCGACTGTCTATGAGTTGGGAGAACGCGGCACCCCATGTCAACGGGCACACGCTGCAGCACTAGGTGCGCATGGAATAAGGCATGAGCAGCGGCAGGAGGCTCACGACATGCACATGTACAGGAGGCCAGCATGGTACAGCTTTCCAGGAGCGTATTGCTCAGTACTTTAGGTTTACTTGGGGCAGAGCAGGCCGCGCCCCCTAACTACCCACCTCCGTGATCCGCTTGGCCGCCTTCTCCGCGTCCGGGATGTCCCGAATGAGAGTTACCGCCTCCTGGGGTTTGGAGGAAGGTGAGCGGAGGGGTGGGTGATGTGGAATGGACTAAGAGAGAATGGGAGGGGCGTGAATGATACCGGTACAAAAGTTGATTGGTGCGGAAGCCCCTTGCGTCTCTTGGCATCTGTGCCGGGGGGCTGCACACAGGCAACACAACACTGCCTGGGGCCGGGGGCCTCACGAACACCTGTAGAGGGAAACCTCCCGGCCAATCAATTGTCAGGGCATTATCCAACCACCTATCCCTCTCCCCTCCCTCCTCCCCTGCCCCACCTGGTTTGTCATTACGTCCCACAGCCCGTCACTGGCCAGTATGAGGAACTCATCCTCGCTGGTGAGGCTCTCGTCCGCCAGTGCGGGGGTGGCCACCACGAAGCGCTTCAGCGGCCGGTCGCCGAACGCGCGGCTCACCGCCAGCACGCCGCCCACCCGCCAGGTGCCCGCCCACACCACCACCCCGCCCGCGCTCTCGATGCGCGCGCGCTCCTCCTTGAGGTTGGGCTTGTGGTCCACGGAGAGGGCGACAGCTGCGGAAGAGGGACAGGGCGGGACACGGGGGAAGATAAATAAGCAGTGAAGAAACTGGAGGGGAAAAGGCGGAAGGGTCGGCGAATGCATCAAATCCCTGCAGCCAACTCTCCCATCAGCACCAGCCAATAAGCTATTCGGCCATGTCCCTCACCTCTCCCGCCCCTGCTGAGCACCGCCCGCGAGTCCCCCACGTTCGCCACCAGCAGCCGCTGCCCCACCAGCACCGCAGTGACCGCCGTGCAGCCGTCCTCGCGGCCGCCCGGGCTGTCCTGCCGCAGGTACTGGTGGTCGGTCGCCTCGTACGCCTCAGCTGTGCATGGGTGGGAAGGGGACAGAGGAGCGGGTTGGGCGGGGGTGAAAAGAGCTGCATGCCCGGTGGCCCCAAGGTCTAAGTCCCGGCGGGAGCAAGTTCCTGGGGTTATGCTCTCCTGCGCCCTCCTGCAGCCACCAGGAGGTGCAGAGCTTCGCGTGTTCGCATGTGCACCGACATGGCAAGGCACAGAATGGCGCCTCCCGAAGTCCCTTACGCGCATTGCAACCCGCTACAAGGGCCGCAGTGCCCCGTGAAACCTTGATACGGTGCGCCCTTTAGTGTGGGTCGACATGCGACACCAGGCCCCAGCGACCCACCTACGCACGCCGGAAGGTCGCTGATGAACTTATTGCTGCGGCAGGGAGGGAGGACAGGACAGACAGGAGGTGAATACGTGTGCGCTGATGAATCACCAGCATGCATGCTGGCAGGAGGCAACTAGGGAAAGCAGCCCATCGCGAGCCCCTTCAGTGGCATGCAGCGATGCCTAGCAAACCGACGTGCACGGCCCGGCACCTAACCCACCCGAGCAGCTACCGGTAGCCCCTGGATTCTACCTTTGCATCATATTTACAAATAGGTTGCTGCGCACGTAGTCGGCCGCATTGGGGCCGCCATGACCTGCGCAGGGGGTGGGGTCCGCTTCCAATGCTGGGTGTATGGTACGGGGAAGTGTCAGCCAGCATAGCGCTATGGGTTTACGTAAGACGGATGCTTAATTCAAGCTTTCGTTATCAACCTATTACACTCCAAAGAAAACACCCTCTGGGCGAGCTTTCCACTTCTTCGAAATGCGAATAGCTGGCCGAGACGCGGTGCAATTGCCATGGACAGACAGCGGGCGGCTCACCGTCGAAGATACCAAACAAACCCACAACTTGTCCTGTCCGGGGGTCTTTCTTGTACTGTGGGTATGAAAGTAAAGCAAGTTATGCTTGGGCATCAGCAGTATTGGTAAGCGGTGCTCTTCCATGGCGGATGACGAACCTGCGCACAGTGGAAATCCTCCATGCTTCCACGCTTGCCTCGAAGAAGTGAAAATCCATAGCTAACTTTGCCGTCTTCCCTGCAGGTGTTTACACGGGTGGGTTTATAAGCCGACTTGGAAAGTGGCCCAACGGGTAGCGAAGCGTCGCTAAACATACAAGCTCACCGGACTTCACCACCCGAAAGAGACGTTGCAGACCCTAATGCGAACGCTGTAACAGAGTCCTTTGGCGGGGACAAGACAGCCGACACAAACTCCATGTTCTGGTGGATGAAGCGTGCTGTTTCAGCTGAGCTTCCCATCAGCGACGAAAGAAACCCATGGATAATATAAGACGCGAACTAATGCTATGCTGGCTATGGTGGCAAATGAGCATGAAGAAAACACTTTGAGCGAGGGTTAGCAAGATCACAGGAAACCTGCGAGTTGTTTTGATTGTACGTCTGTTTTGTATATGGTGCCAAAAGCTTATCCAGTTTTTCATCTGTCCGAAAACGGGTCGAATTGTTCCTCGACGGCGGTTGGTGCTGCCAATGTTCGTACTTGGCTTAGTGTCGCGATGCCTCCTGATAATGCTTCCACGATCCAGCCATTTGAGTATGTTAAGTGAGTAAAAGAACACTACTTCGTCAATGCTGCCCCATGCTGTTGTTGCGGTTATCGTCCGAGCGGAGTCCCCGGCCCTGTAGAGCACCCACTTGTCAACATGATGCCCACGCTGTCACAAGAAAAGCCCTTTTGCTTCGGCACCCATACGCTGCTCTGCTTGGGGGCTCATTGGAACGATTCTTGCATGGCTCCATATGGGTGCACTTCTCGCCGTAAACGTCGCTCATCGCAGGAAGTGTATAATCGTAGACCTTAGCACGAGCATGCCCAAGTAGGGTACTGAGGGTATTGCACGGCTACTAGACGGCCCCCACAGGATACCCTATACACCACTTCCTTAACACAGTCTTCCCTATGCAGTTTCCGGGCCACGTTGCCCCGCCCTAGCAGTTCACACAGCAACGTCCCCCGACGGCTACCAACAGGCCTGTGCCGTGTGCATTGCCGCACACTACCGCATTGCCGCCCGTAAACAGGTCACTGGGCCGACCACGCCCCATCTAGCCTAATGGGGTTGCTTGGGACACCGCAGCAACTGTCACTGAGTTCGCTCACCCTACGGCACGATGAAAGCATCACTGCACACGGGAGCTCTCAGGAGACCACGTGACAATACAGAAAGAAGCGACGCAAAGATTTCTTTCTCTTTACAGTACGTCGTGCCTCGACGCCGTCCAGGAAGGTAGCCGCAACAGTGCAGCGGCTTTCCTGGCTCCGAAAGGTCATGCGCAACGCGTACGTAAGACGCCGTCCTTTCGCAGAGTTAAAAAGCTATCCCATCACCATGCACAGCGGAATCCCTGCCACCCAATCAGGGATATACGTCCGAGCTAAGATATTACGCTACCTCACACGTCACAGCCCCTCAACATGACCCCAACAACACTGACCTTGGTCCCTGCTAGTCCCCATACGTATGCTAGGCCTCATACGGCTTATCCCTTTGGGCATGCTACCCTCTCCCAGACACGTCCCAGTGTTATCCTTGCCTAAACCACGCACGCACCTAACCGAGCAAAACTCCGGGGCAGTCCAGTCCTGGCATGACTCTCTATGCTTACCATTTGAAGCTACCCCACTTCCTTACGCCGCCCATTTGATGCCTCCGCTCATGATGATGCCAATGATAACACCAAACAACCCCAGAGCGCTGCCGAAAATCTCCACCACAAGGATCTTGACGAACAGCGTGCTGTTCTGCGCGTCTGACAGGGCGCAGCTGCTTCCCACGATGCCGACACACATCCTGTTATATGGGAATGCGCATTGTGGGAAGGGAAGCAGGCTCTCAGGTTGGGCGCGTACGGCATGGCAGAGATGCAAGAATCGACTAGACCCTGACAACTTGCCGTATACCGCACACCCTGGCGATGCGGGGAGGGGGACAGCAGGGCACCCAACGCAGGGGGAAACCATGAAAGCTATTTGCAAACCTTACCCGCACACCAAGTTGGCAAAGCCAGTGGTAATACCAGAGCCGAAAATTGAATACCCTGCCGCCACGGCGTACTTATCGTAGACCCCGCCCGTGCTTTGAGGGTCGACGTATTCGATCTTTGTCTGGAGGATGATAGCCACGATGACGCCGTAGATGGCCACGGCCTCGCAGAAGATAACGCTGTTGGAGCGTTGGGAGGGTACGCTTAGTCTTTTTTCCCAGCATGCGCACAGCATCTGTGAGCCCAGTTTTAGGGCCTTACCTGATCAAGTTCTTGGATGTAATCCTGGGCACGCGAATGGCTGCACCGACCAGAGAGGCGCCGGTAATGAAAATGCCCCTGCGCGAAACGGAAAACATAAATTGGGATTCTCATCTTTATCGTATGTAGCAATAAATAGCTAATATATTGCCAGAAATGCATACAAATCCCAGGACACAAGAAAGACCCTGCCCTCACCAAGCTGCTCCCAGGATAGACATGCCCACGCATAGCGCCACGCCCAGAGCTGCCCAAAAGTATGGTGAGATGTGCCGGAAAAGGAACCAAAGCCAGTCGTAGTCGATGAAGCGGTCTGGAGAGCCCACGCTAATCAGAAAGCAAATCCAGGCTAGCGTGCAAGGTATGTAAAACCAGACAACTGGATGTGTTAGGTCCGCCATTCTTATGTAGTTAAGCAAATTAGCGTGTGGCGCTCGATATGAAGACCGTGTAAATGGCTGCCTAGGGACGCTGCAGCGTCCGTGCTCTAGCTCCTCCTGCGCAACCTATATTAACCAGGCTATAGGGAGGAACAACATCGCATCCCGGAGACCAAGTTCCCGGTAGTACGCCTAACTGTACTACACTTCGTTGTTCGCCATCTAGACAATGGTTAATGGCGTTAATGGCGTTAATGGGGAAGTCAATGCGTTTAACGAAGTTTCCGCGGACACCATCCTTAGTACCATCAACGGTGTGCCACATGGGAGGGGGAGAGGATGGGCCAGGGCGACAGGCGATCGGGTAGCACGAGTCACTGCTGCTGCCGCACTTAACGTTCCGTTTACTTTGGCTGAAGTCATCGCTGCGCTGAAGTCCCTGCGTAATAACAAGTCTGGTGGTTTAGGCAGAGTGCCGGCTGAATGTTTCAAGTGTGCGACGAGAGAGGTTGAGGGTAGGAGGATGTACGTTTTAGCTCCTTACCTGCTCAAGCTACTAGAGCATATCCGCAGCACGGGGGATTACCCTGAGCAGTTTGAGATCTCTGCGCTTACGCCCATTCACAAGAAAGGCGATGTGATGGAGAAGGGTAACTATAGGGGATTAGCAGTGGGTGGTGTTTTGTCTAAGCTGTATGCGTTTATGTTGGAGCATAGGCTGTCTCGTTGGGGCGAGCTGGTGGGAGCTAGGTCGCCGTATCAGGGAGGTTTCCGACGCAAGCGGGGTACCTGCCACAATCTGTTTCTGTTACGTCACCTGACGGACAAACATAAGGGGGGGCGAGACGCAGTTGACCCCCTGTTCGTTTGTCAGATTGACTTTGAGAAAGCGTTTGACAAGGTGCCACGTGATCTTTTGTGGTTAAGGTTGGAGGAACGGGGTGTACATGGCGCTATGTTGGAGGCTCTCAAGACTTGTTACAACAAGGTCATGATGCGTGTCAGGGTAGACGGAGTGACGGGGGATCCTTTTGAATCTTCGCAGGGAGTCAAGCAAGGTTGCCCTCTCAGCCCTACGCTTTACGGGATGTTTGGCGAGGGGTTTGCTGACTATGTTGACGCTAAGGATAAGTGGCTCCCTGATGCTATGCGCGCCAAGCAGCAGACTCCTCATGCGGATGGCCGGCGTATCCCGTTGGAACTGTATGCCGACGACCTCAGCCTTTTCGCTACGACGCACAGACGGCTGATTGTGTTGCTCGCTGATTTGAGAGAGTGGTGTGAGGCTTTTGGGATGCGGGTGAATGTTCGTAAATGTGAATTGATGGTTTTCCACCCTCGTGCCAATATCCGTGAGGCTTTTGCTTCCCTTTGCCCCGTGGTGTGGACTTCTATTGAGGGAAATGCGCGAGTACCTATGGTTATTCCCTGGGTACAACGAGCCCGTTACCTTGGTTTGCACTTTGGTCCTGGCACACCTTTTGTTTCCTGCACAGAGGAACTGTTGACCTCTGGCCGACGTGCTATGTTTTCTCTTCAGCGTAAATTAAAACGCCTAGGTCTCTTGGTCCCTGCTGTTGCAGTTAAGTGCTTCGACGTGCAAGTCCGCTCCATCTTGTCGTACGGTGTCCAGGTGTGGGGGCCTGATGTGGTGCTGAAGTTAATGACGGACTGCGAGAATGCCGCGAGGTACTTTGACAGATCCTTGCGGGACCCAATGGTGCAGTTACAAAGGGGATTTCTTCGGGAGATTGCGGGTGTTAAAGTCTCGCCGGATAAGTTGCTGTTTAAGGAGTTTAACCAGCGCCCCCTGCATGTCTTTTGGTTGGAACTGTTTCTGAGGTTTTGGAATGACCTGGTCAAGCAGAAGGACACGGTCTACCACCAGGCGTTGCGAGGTGAAATTCGTTCGGCCCTCAGTACTGAGCATTATGATGGCTGGGGTTCTAAGGTGTTGAAGATTCTGAAAATGTTAGGGACGGATTTGACGGCCTTGGGGGGTGAGTTGGACTTGAATGCGCGTGTGGAACGTATTGCTAGCACGGAGCTAAATGTGTCTACTCTCACTAAAAAGTTTGCTGATAGAATGGATGCGGATTGGGAGGATAGGAGTTTGGAAGATGACCCGCGGCTTTTCAACCCAGTAGACCCCGTACCTGGGGTTGGAGTTAAGATGTGCAGGTACAAAAATTGGATGGGTGACCCGGTTGACAGGGGGTACATTACTCAGCGGCAGCATGTGAACCTGATGCGTTTTCGGCTGTGTGTGTGGGGCATTGAAGCCAATCGCCCTAGGGGTAGGCAACGAGTAGCGCGTGTCTGTCCTATGTGTGCCGTGCAGGGGTCGCCGGGGAGAGTGGAAGATGAGAAGCACATCCTCATTGAATGTCCCGCTTACGATGATTTGCGTGACAAGATATGGGAAAGTGGTGTCTCACGGGATGCTGATATGGTTGCTGTCATGGGCATGGAGAATCAGGCATTGCTTGCTAGTGTAATCACTAGCATGCGAAGTCGCAGGATTGCGCAGACAGGGTTTATCATATGATTAGCGTTCTGTTTGTTGTCTCTTTTGTTTGCTTTTTCTTCATTTGGTTGTTTTCGCGTTTTGTGCTCGCGATCCATGAGCCTTCTGGCTCGGACGGATCTTACGAGCTCGGTACGAAGCTTGTAACACATACATACATAACACATACATACACAACAGATGCAGTCGCTGTGAGCGCATAATGCTGTAAAGCCCTCGTTCTTCTCGTTGAACTTGTTGCGTGTTTGCTTTACAATGTCTTTCTCCATTCCCTTCTGAGTGAGAGTGTACGGTCGAGACCGAGCAACATACATGTTGCAGAGCCCTGAAAGACTTACATATACCAACCGCGCAGCTTCTCTTGACATATCGACCGTCGCAATAAAGAAATGGCCTTGTTGTTCAGCGCACGGCAACGCACATATCGCAGAACTTCGCTAGGTTCGCAACCGGCTCCATCCAACTGTTTGCACCAACAGTCCTTCATGCCTCATCCCTTGCCCCACGCCCAACATGTGAAACGCCGCGTTTCCCCCGGATGTTTCCAATAGGGATCTGAGCCTGGACGTTCCCCAGGAAAACCACAATTTGGTCCTGAGAGGGAATCAGCAACGCACAGTATGTGCGCTCACGAAAAGTTAGCAAATGCCCGCCCAGTAATACTAGCAAATTTCCTACGGAAGCTCGCACTGCATTCCTGCAATGAATCCTGTACGTACTTGCAGATATTAATCCGTGGTAATTGCCTGCACATCACACACACATAACCATGGTTGGGATATTAAGACGTAAACACATGCACCATACACTGCCGCCTAGTCCGCAACTGTAACGTCAAGTTTACAACACCCCAGGCAATCTCAACCACTGTAACCCCCTCGGTACGACACGTATGCAGCCCTCCGCCCCAGAAGATCTCCCAGCAACACAACCACAACAGCTTTCCCCAGTCCACCGAACGTTACCAGACCCTGTCCATCGAAATTACCCAAAAACTCCTCCAGCCATGAAACTAGAACTGCTTTCATCAACCCCCAAGCTGTGCCCATCCCTGCCCATCCCATTTACTAGGTCCCCAGGAAGCCGGTCTCGCGCCCGATGCCCTCCAGCAGCTCCTCAGGTGTGGGCTCCATGGGAGAAAACGGCAAACCCATGGTCAGGAACCGCTTGAACGAGTCGCTCTCGCAACGCCTCAGCTCGCGGTTCGCCTGGTTCAACAGCAGGCCGCCCGAGTCCACGTGCTGCAGCCCCCGGCCCAGCTGCACGCCCGAGCTGCCGGCAACACCGTTACCGGCGCCGGGTGCGCTGCCGGCAGGGTAGGAGTGGTGGCTGTCCAGGGTAAGCAGGCCGGAGCCGTTGGTGGCCCCCGCGGGCCCCATGCGGCCGGCGACGGGGTCGTTCAGGATGAGCGTGTGCTGCATCTGCCCGGTCAGCTGGTCGGACTGCTGCATGCTGCTCTGCAGCACGGAGCCCGGGGCGCCCAGGCCCAGGCCGGTGCCGGCAGCGGCGAAGGCGCGCTGGTCGGGTACGGCGCTGCCTGAGAAGGAGGAGTCGGTGGTGCCGGGGACGAAGCTGAAGTTCTGCGCTAGGTAGGTGTCCAGGTCCGAGGCGTCCAGCACGCTGCCCAGCGCGTTGGCCGCCACGGTTTCGCTCACCTCGGCATTCACCCGGCCCCGAGGCGTGTGTCGGCCCCGGCCTGATGCATGCGGATAGGTGGAGGCATTGTTGGGAAAGGGACATTGTTTAGAAAGCGGCATGCCTGTTGCGAAATGTCGCAGTCGAGAGGGGCTGAGAAAGCAGTGTGCAAGTTCTGCGCTTTACCAAGATGGGCCTGGCAGTCTCGCACATCTCTGACGTGCATTCGCACGTTCATCAAGTGATGGCACCTACCAGCATGATGCTGATACCAGCTTTAAAGAAGCCCTTCAATACAGCTTCCTAGGCCCAGCAGCTAACATGGCACAGCACAGGCCCTCGACAATCAGAACCCGCTACTCACTCTCGAAGTGGTACAGTGCGTGGCGGTTGCCGAGCTGCAGGTCCAGTCCGCCGGGCGCGCTCTGCTGGTGCAGCTGCTGCAGCTCTTCCAGCGCCTGGTGACCCGGGTGCGAAGCGCGGCAGCGCTTGCCGCTCTGCAGCAGGGTACGGCGAAAGCGAGCCAGGTCGGCAGAAATGGAATATAGCGTGGGGAAAATGCTGGTTGAGGGCGCGTGTACGGGCTAGAAGTACAGGTCCCAAAATTGCCGTGCAGACGACCAAGTGCAAGATGGCAACGTGTAGACAAAAGGTCATACGGGGGAGCCACCCACCAGGTCTACTGAAAGATCTGCGTTAGGCTGCTGCTGCTGTAAAGCCGCTGTCTGGGCGCCCGCCATCTGCCGCATGGCACCAGCGTCCGCTGAAAGCCGCCTGTAGCGTCCCGACCGCACAGGCGGTGGCCCCAAGATGCCCTCCACTTGCCCGGTCAGGTGTCCAAGAGGGCTGCTGACGGTGGCCATGGCCCCAACCGGGCTGCTCACAGTGCCAAACATGCCGTTGGCAGCGCCACCGCTGTCCATGCTTTGTTGAGGGAAGAGGCAAGCACCAACAGCTACACGCAGGAGGGGGTTGGCATGGGGTATGGTGGTGATTGCCATGGTGCAGTTTCCACGTGCGTTCCATCCTGTTTAGGGCTTCCAGCGTCTGCTTGCGCAGCTCTGCAGAAATAAACATACGCTTCGCACCTAGCGGGAACCTCGAGATGCGCGCATATGCATTGATACACGCTAACGTGATGAGCTATGAGACCCCAAACTAGCCACAACATGCACTTACCGACGTTGGGAGCACTGGCTACCCTGTACACATCCGGCGACAGATCATCTGCTAGACCGTTGCTGAACAGGGTCCCCGGCGCGGCAAATCCGCGGTTACCAGCGAATTGGAACTGCGACTGAGCCCCCGCATGTCCCGCCATCGCCTGCTGCGACAGAGCGGCATCGCTGTAGCCGGCGCTCGCCACCTGCTGCTGCTGGTGCATGTTGAAGAAGCCCTGGGCAGACATGTCGGGCGAGCTGGGGCCGGGCCCGGGGTAGCTGACGGTGGAGGAGCGGCGGCTGCGCGCGGAATCCGCCACCATCATGGGAGGCGGCGCAATGCCGATGCTGCCGCGCCGTGCCAGCATCTGCATGGGTTAACCGGACAGCAAGCAATGAACAGCATGCAATACACCAGGACGTGCCAAGCGTAGGTTATCCCTGCACCGCAAGGATCCACACTCCTACAGGCGCTGCACGTACTACAGGCAATGCCAACACGAGAGTGGGTGGCGACATAGGACTACTGCAGCGCACATGCGCCCTGGCCTCAGCCATGTGCACTCGCCGCCCCCACCTGCTCGTCCATGCCCTCGGGAAGGGACACACTGGGCGCCATGCTGATGCTCGCGCCCCCGCCCATCAGGAGCGAGGCGCTGCCGGAGCCGGGGGTGGCCATTTCCTGCAGCGTTGCAGCAGCGTGAGAAAGCAGCCGCTAGGTGAAAGTGCTCTTAGTTCCACCTACCACGACAGACGTCGGCGGGTACAGTGCATTCATGACCATCCCCATAACATGACCATCCCCATAAGGTACGCAGGGCATGCGGATAGCTTACCAGCTGCTCCTGGACCATCACCCAGCCGCGGTGGCCGGGCAGGTTCCACGATTCCTCTGCAAGCCCCCGCCAGTGCTTCAGCATCTCCGCCTCCGGCCCCGTGGGGTTGCTGGTGACCACCAGTCTGCCTGTGGCGGGTGCCCGCTGCACCAGACCTGCAGATGGCCACAACAGTGTGACCGGATGAATTAGTGGGGCCGTACATGCTCCTACTTGATACGTGCACATAAGCACCATCACTCTGCATCCTCTCCACAACACAGTCCCAGTGATATGCCGCCCGTGCGCTGTGTTCGGTTAAGGACCATTCCAACGGATTCCCAATGCACTGTCCACTAGCCGCCCATACGTGTATGGTTCGCTAGCCCCCTCTCGTGCCCCTCCATGCTAGGCTTGCCCCTCTTCCCAAGCACTCACCGTACGGCCGGTCCAAGTTGACCTGCCCCTGCTTGCAGGTGAAGATGACGCCCTGGCTCATGCACTCGTCGGCGTACCAGATGCGGTGCAGCATGTCGTCGTACACCACCCGCTCCGCCAGCACCTCGCGCAGGTAGTCCCACTTGTGCTTGTGCTTGCCCTTCATGTTCAGCAGCTCCAGCATCTGGGCGGGGTGGGGTAAATAATAATAAGACACTGACGATGCAACTGACGGGGTGGCGGAGGAGCGGCAATGAAAGGCATACGGTGGGGGCAGCTGAAAGGGGTCCAAGGGGAAAGGAGCCGTGTAAGCGAGCACAAGGCGCGAGGGTGAGCTGGCTGGCGGCCTCCACACTCCCGTCGGGAACCGAGCGTGCGACCCATCCTACCTTGTTCTCCACCTGCCGGTTCTGGTCCGCGTACTGCATCAGCTGTTTCAGCTGCTCGACTGCGCAAACACACACACGGCAGGCGGCAGGTTGTATTAGCAGTTACAGCTCTGCTACAGGAACCAAGAGCGGGCAGCAGGCATCGCCATCGTATTGCCTCTGTACCTCCCCGCATGCCCCCCCGCCGCCCCCTCACCCGTCTCCACGGACGTGAAGGGGGACTCCAGGTGCGTGCTGATGTCCCGCAGCCGCTGCGCCGTGATGCTGCCGATGTGCTTCAGCTTGGTCAGCTCGTCCTTGTAGTGCGGGTAGTCGGACTTGCGGTAGTCGTTGAGCGCTCGCTGCGTCTTGACCTGGGGAGCCACGTCAGCGGGTGGCAGCGTTGAAGGGTGAGCAGCCAGGAAGGAAGGACAGGAACAACCTATAGAAAGGATAGAGCCCTTACGTGTATTGACTGTACTCCACCGGCATCCGAAATCCGCGCTATCCCAGGGAACACCCCGTTTCTCTGCGTTTCTCCACCCAGCCCGCCGCAGCCCACTCACGACCACCCAGCCCCCTCACAATGAAGCGGCCCGACACCGACGGGCGCACGTTGTCCACGGGCTGCAGGTGGCCCAGCCCGTCTCGCCGCACCGCCCGCGCCATGAGGCGGAACGTGCTGAACGTCTCGCCGTTGAGGTGGAAGGTGTCGTTCTTATCCGTGACACACACGTCGGGCAGCTTCACCTGCCCCTCGTTCATGCGCAGGTAGAGGCGGCCGTCCGCCTCCGTCTTGGTGCCCGCCTGGTAGGCTCCCAGCAGGATGCTCTCCTGCGGGAGGCGGGCGGGCCCGAGGTCAGCGGTGGCGGTCAGGGCCCCAACCAGGCCCTTCATGGGGCCCCGCAGGACGGCTAACGGGGAAATGCATGCCAGCGGTGGCTACAGCCCTTAGTACCGCTGGCAGCTGTAGGGGGGTGCCCCGGCACACGCGGCCGGCCTACAGCGCGGCATTCCACTCTTCCTAACAACAGCAACTTCCAACAGCAGCGCATGTTGTTACAAATCGCCAACGGTTCTTCAAGCCCAGAGCCCTGGTACCAATGAGTTCAGGCTGACCACACCCACTGAGTAGAAGAGAAGCGCTGCGGTCGCACCCCTCCCTGACCCCGTCCCCCAGCAACGCCCTCACATCATCGTTTTTTAGCAGCTCCTTGACGTGCGCGTAGGTACTAGGGGAGCTTTCGCTGTACGACTCGCCATCCACGACGGACACCTGGCGGACGAGCAGAGCGTAGGGGGGAGAAGCAATACGTCAGGGTGAACAGTCAAACCCCCCTAGCCCCCTAGAGCCCTGCCCCCTAGAGTCCTGCCCATTACAGGGTAAGCGCCGACATGGTTGTAGCGTGTGTGAGTTTTCCCCGCCCGCCCACCTCTACTTACCGCAATTTCCACGCTGGGCAGCGCCTCTGGTTGGTTCGTACGGAGGTTGATTAGCTCCAGGTACACGTCAGCCTCGCACTTGGACTTCAGCACCTGCCCGTCCGCATAGCACTCGTCGAAGTTGTCCTCCTCGCGGCACTTTTTGTTGGGGTTATTCTTACAGAGCGCGCACTCCTTGCGCAGGCACCCCAGGAACCTACAGTTAAATACACGGCAGGTGGTAAGGACTTCAGCCCAAAGTTAGGCGTGCTGGGGCACGCTGACGTTGCTGAGAGCTGCCATGAAGCGGAAACGTCCCGACTTGCCGGCAGCGATGTGTGAAGCGGAGGACGTAGGAGTCGGTAACGCGCATCTCCTGTGCTGTTGTGCCAAGTAACTGCTGCGTGCGCAAGTATGCATGCTCATACGTTTGGTCTGTGACGCCCGGCAGAAGCACGCCGACAAGCAGCCGGCTGAACTGCTTAACACGGGCTGAGACATACTCCTGTACAAGAAAGCAATTTGGGTGTCAACGATATGCCGAGCCGACCAGAATAGTGCTATGAACGCTAACCTCAAGAACCGGCCGAGGAACGGCCCTAAGCTCATCCCTTAGCGGCACAGGCTGAATAGCCTGCATTTGCATCTCTAGAAACTACCACTCTGCTACATGTCCGGCCAAGTTAACGGGCAGCGTGCAAACGCCCGTCTAATACGGAGGTCAAAGCTCAACAACGAGTGACATAAGCAGTCAGTAATGTGGTGACCCGTTCTCATGTGGCGACTTATGCCCCGGAACCTAGGAGCCTGGCGCCGTACTGCTTGCATATAACTGTCAGAACTGCACACTATGGTGCCAATATCCCCTGCAATCCCTTACAAATTCGGAAACGTTTGTCTCCTCGCTTCTAGGCGCCTCAATTGATTGACCCGAACACAAGCATACCGGTAGTCACAAATAAGGTGCTGGAAGATAACGGTAAGAAGTGCTGTCGCCTTCTAGGGCATTAAGGGTGCCCAGGAGTTGGGGTCGTCCAGCAGGGGCAGGTAGTGGCTAGTGGCAGTGTGTTCTGCTACGCCAGCGGTCAAGACACCTATTGAGGCGGTGACACCGTTAGTAACCTCCTAAAACCCAGTCCTCAAGTGAAGCGGTCAGGTACTTGGGCACATATGGCAATGTGTTGAGGCTGGTTTGGGGCAGTGCAGATCAAGACGGTTAGGACAGTCGACGCACGCACGTTCCACCCGCAGACTCTGTTTCTGGAGAGTCCAATAACTCAGCACCGGGGTAGCTATGGACAGCTGGGCACACAATCCACTTGCTGGGGTGCTTGCAAGTTAGGTAAAATGCCACGGCACTGTTAGGTACCCGCCCCCTCTCACTGCCAATATCAAAGCCTGTCCCAGTCACGGTCCCTGCCTGAGTGTCTCCGCGGCTCAGTTTATCCAGTCCCCGCCTGACGCAACAGTGCACCGTATTCATGCCAGGTCCAAAACCGATGGAAGTGACCCGCACGGGACCTGCTGGAATCCCCAAGCAACCACAACTGCACACAGGTGTCACCTTAACATCCCCTGGTGTGCAACCCCTCTTCCGCCATGGCACACTGCCAAATATTGCTATCACAGGCCCATACTTCATTGTTGTAGGCAGCCCCTCCACACCAACGCGAAGGGCCCAAGGCCCAGCCCAACTAACCGCAAGCCGTCAAGCTGGTGCCATTCGGCAACCACATCCATACCGTGATGTGAACATAAAACCTGCCTGCCCTTACCCCTTACTCCTGAAGATCCCCCACCGTCTGGTTCCGCCACCAGCCGCTACTTGGGTCCGGCCGCACCCGGCTACTACACTCCTTCACCTTCCCCTGATCCCTACCCACCCCTGCTACCCCTGCGCGCCCTCGCCCAAGCGCCCCCCACGTGCTGCCTGTCACCGGCGGTACGGCACCACAAAGTCAAAGTTGCTCCCCGGTTTGCCGCACTCGTATGTGCAGCTGCGCGCGCAGCCCCGCGCCAGGCGCACCTGGTCGGCCGCCAGCAGCCGGAAGCCGCTCTCGCCGGCCACCCGCGCAGCCTGCCCCGCCACCGCCTCGCTGCATGCCGTCTCACATGCCACGCGACACGTCTCCCTCAGCTCCTGCCCCTCGGACTTCCTGTGGTGGCAGGTAGGGAAAAGGTGCGTGTCGACGTGCATGGGCGAATCCAGGCATGTGTGACGAGCCACATGGATACTGCGCGCACCCTCAGCCTAGCAATGGCGGACAGCATGCGAACATGGGGCTTCAAGAGGCCCAGCCGCCCAGGCGGTATCAACCACCATGACACAGGCAATGGGTATATTCTTAAACCCAGGCCATCTCACGGGGTAACCCTTTGCAAGTCCCTCTAGCTTACTTGCACGTGCGGCCCTCGGCGTATAAGGCCTGCGGTCGTGGCACGGGAGGGGCGTTAGAAGGGCGTGTAAGCCCGCAAGGGTAGGGTCCAGTATGCAATAGCGACATGCCTGAAGTAGGTGTGTTGGGGGCATCGCACGGTAAAGTCATCGGAAGAAAGCCACCGGCCGACACGCCCACGTCATCAACGGACCTTGCTGGTGTACGACCCAAACCCACGCACGACAGCCCCATGCGTGACAGCTGATTGCATGGAACCCCAGCTGTGTCCAGGCCACTGCTGAGGCGGGCCCTCACCTTATCCCGGGTGGACAACCCCTGGAACTGCGGCGTCTCCTCGGGCGCCTCCACCGCCCCAACGCACGCCTCCACCGTGAACCCCCGCCGCCTGCCAACTATCTTGTTGCCCTGGAGCTCCTCTATCAAGAACTTCTTCTGCGGGGCCCCCAGGGTAAGGAGGTAGGCCAGGTGCTTGGGTGGCCTTCTCACACTTTATATCAGGGCATCAGGGCATAGTGCTCATCAGCGAAGTGCAATAGAGGAGACAGTTACGCCATGCCACTTACGGAGTTTGTCCCGTAGAGGGTGAACGGTGTAATGGGATCGCGCTCGTCGTGGAAGTCACCTCCACCACCAAAGAGCCCCGCACCCAAGTCGGCAACTGGGTTAGCACCTTTAACGGTGGACACCGCTGCCTTCTTTTCCTGGCCGCAAGGAAAACTCCAATCAGGCGAAAAGAGGGTTCATACCAGGTGGCATGGTGCGCCAATCCCCGAGCGCACCTGACGCAGCAAGGGGTCCGCGTTGGTGGATGGATGCTGGGCAGGCGTGCAGTTGGTAAAAGCGTAAGCCGAGGGAGCGGTCGCAAAGACAAATATAGCAGTAACAAAGGATGCAGCTTCGGTTAACTGGACCGGCGCGCGCCTGTTGGAATTGTGTATCGGTTGGAATGCAAGTGCAAGCAACGCAGTTCTGCCGCGATGTGGACGCGCAGGCGCGTTGACACAGCTTTGTTTTGGTGTTAGCAACATTGAACTTAACGACATAACATCTGGGCTTCGTCGGTCTACCAGTCTGATGATGTCCGGTGGCCGTACAGCAATAGATGCAATAAATGAACAAGCAACCCTCCTTTCGCTCGGCACGCACACCACAAGACACCACAGTAGTATACAAACATGTATTAAGGAGGTAAAAAGACAACACTTCCTGTGTGCCTTTAGTGAAGCCAGGAATGGCCAAGCCCGGAGGCACGGCTCAGCCGCCGTCCAAGGCAGGCAAGCCTGTGGCAAAGACGGGGAACAAGCGGAAGGGGGGAGCTGGGGCAGCGGCGGCGGCGCCGCCCCCGAAACGCGCCCGCGCGGAGGATGCGAAGAGCAAGGGCGATGACAAGAAGCTTAGCACGTAAGGGATTGCCATTGTTACATACTTTAACGAAGCTTTGTATCCACGAAGGTTATCGGAGACCAAATTTCACCATTGTATTGGCACCCTCGCAGGAAGGAGAAGCGGGCTACCATCCGTGAGAAGAAGCTGCTGCACAAGAAGAACTGGAACGTGATCCAGGTCAGTAGCCACGGGAACGCTGTTGTTGCCAACCGGCTCGGCTACCCAACCCTACCTCCACCGGCCGCCACACAGCCGCCACCCGCCCCTTTGGTCCTAGGCACCCTGCATGCGCCCACTTTCCCATTGCCTAAGCCTGCACCCTCCTCTCCCAGTCTCCTGCGCAAGTCGCTCACGCCAAGGCAATAGGCCGTAACATGCGCCTCTATCTATTGAGGCCACGCCCCTTGGTTCGGTCCTCACCTTTCCCTCCTGCTCCACCTCGGTCCGCAGGACGCGGTGTACCTGTGGGAGAAGCTTCGCCCGAAGGAGACGCCCGATGCTGAGCGCAAGGAGCTCGTATCTAACATCCTCAAGAAGGTACGGAGTGGAGTAGACTATTAAGGGGTGGGTGCCGACTTGTCTACTTGTCTCTAGGATTGCGGTCTGCCTTCACCCCGGTGCTTCACGGCACAGCGGACTTACTTGCATCATCTTTTGTCTCTTGAGCTTTTCTTTTTCCTTGTTGCTGCGCAGGTGAAGGGCAAGCTGTTGGAGCTCTGCAACCACCACACCGCGAGCCGCATCATCCAGTTCTGCATCAAGTTTGGCGGCGATGCGGAGCGGCGTGTGGTGATGGAGGAGGTGCGGGCCAACGTGGTGGAGCTGTCGCGGAGCAAGTATGGCCACTTCCTGGTGCGCAAGCTCATCAACACGGCCAAGAAGGACGAGATACCGGGTGAGTAGCGTGCCTTGCACTCCTAGTCAAGGATGAGGTGCTCGGTTGCCCCACAGCAGATCGTAAAAACCGCGGCGCCCAATTGCATGACGCCGTGGTTCATGAGTCTGCTCACAACAAGGGCCAGGAGTGCCCGAGCTATGTCACACTGACGGAGCCCACCAGTGGCCCGTACGGTCCTCTTTCGGCTCGACATGACCTCGAAGTATACTTTACCTGCATCCGCGTGTGTTTGCAACATGCACGCTGTTCGCTTGTACTTACCACGACATGCATGGGTCCCGTAACGTGCACGACAGGACATGACGGTAACCTGGTCTCCTCTTTTGCTCGCCGTAGGTCTGGTCAAGCTCTTCCGCGGTCACGTGGCGCAGCTGCTCAGGCAGCCGTACGGCGCCGACGTCATTACGGACCTGTACGACGTGGCAAGCACGACAGACCGCAACGCACTGTGCGCTGAGTTTTACGGCAAGGAGTTTGTGTTGTTTGATGGCATCTCGGGCGAGGCCGGGCGGCTGCACAGCCTGAAGCAGCTGATGGCGGGTGCTGCGCCCGCCAAGCAGCGCGCCATCATCCAGCACATGACCAAGGCGCTGGTGCCCATCATGGAGAAGGCGCTGCTGCACCCGCCCATCACACACAGGTGGGAAGGGGAGAAAGAAGGGGAAGGCAGGAACAGACACTTGAAAATCTTCTTTCCCAAAATGCCGCTCAAACTTTGCACCATTACATATTGGTCGCAGTCTTCTGACTACCATTCCCCTCACCCGCTCCCTCCTCGCAGGCTGGTGAAGGAGTACCTGGACAACGCCACCGGCCTCTCCGTGGAGGACGCGGTGGAGACGCTGTCCCAGACAGGCGAGGCGGTGCTGCGCATGGTGCACACGCACGAGGGCGCGGCGGCCGCCTGCATGGTGCTGGCGTACGGCACCCCGCGTGACCGCAAGCGGCTTGTCCGCGCCATGAAGGGCCACGTGGCGGCCATGGCTGCCGACGAGTGGGGGCACACGGTGCTGTGCATGGCGCTGGGCTGCGTGGACGACACGTCGCTCACCGGCAAGGTGCTGGTGCCGGAGTTCAAGGTGGGCGGGCGGAGTGTGCATGGAGCGGGGGTGGGCGTTAGTGGTGAAGGTTGGGTTGTGGGCTGGAGGCGTGCTGCGGAGTGCGCTGCTCGTTGATGACACCATTTGTCGACGGGCGGTCTGAACCCATTGATGAATGTCGACATAGGAGCGTCCGCAAGGGCGTGTCTGAGAGCAGTGTGGCAGTCTGACTGTATCCAATTTATTGCAATGCAAAGGAGGTTCGAAGGTGGGGGGAGGGTGCGGGACCTGGCGGAGGGACGGCGGGTTGGGTGCACGTGTATGCATTCAGATATCGCGTCCCCATTGCTTTCTACATGGACTCCTTATACCTTACGCATCATAGGTGCCTGTACCTAAACAAACGGCCATCATGCGAAGCTGATAATTAGTTCTAAGCATTTCTCTGGTTCTTTGATGACACCATTTGTCGACGGGCGGTCTGAACCCATTGATGAATGTCGACATAGGAGCGTCCGCAAGGGCGTGTCTGAGAACACATGACCGTAGGCCCTTGTACCTGCCTCCCCCCGAACCAGCATTTCTCACAGCATCCCATCCCATTCCATGCAACACTAGCTCCAGCGCTCTGACGCGATGCCATCTCCCAACCCGCTGTCCCCCGCAGGAGCTGCTGTCGGAGGGTGTGCACCAGGCCACCGCGGTGCGAGTGCTGATGCAGCTGCTGGCGCCCGGCAGCCGGCGCCACTTCCCGCCCGCCATACACGAGATGCTGCACCCGCCGCAGCGCACTGTGCGCGGCTCGTCCGGGAAGTCGGTCACGGATTTGGACGGAGAGGAGGTGAGGGGGTTGGCTGGGCTTGTGAGGGCGAGGATTGGGGCTCTTGATGGTGGGCATTATGGGGATTGTAGTCATTCCTAGCAGGGATGCCAGGGGTGCTCTCTTCTGGAATGCCATCTCTTATCTCCTGCTTGCCACCTGCTGCTTCAGGACGAGGCCCTTGACTTCGGCAAGGCCGCCGGGGACGGTGACGCGGAGGACGGCGACGACTTGTTCGTCAAGAAGGGCAAGGAGGGCGGCAAGGGCAAGGCTGCGGACAAGGCCAAGCCCAAGGCCAAGGGGAGAAAGCCGGAGGAAGCGGATGACGACAAGGAAGCTGCGGGTGCTCCAAAGGAGGGCGCGGAGGGTGAGGAGGGTCCCGAGCGGGTGCTGGGCGCCAGCAAGAAGGACCCGCTGCTGCGGCGGCGGGAGCTGCTGGGCAGCGGCCCCAAGAGCCTGTCCGCGGCGCTGACGGCGGTGGTGACGGCGGCGGCGGGGTCGCTGCTGCGGTCGCCGCACAGCTGCGAGCTGGTGGTGGAGGTGGCACGCGGGGGGGAGCAAGGTGAGCCGGGAAGGGGAAGAGGGCGCTGTGTTGTAGGGCGGATGACTCGCAATAACAGCGACTTGAGGGCCTGTTGCTAGCTGCGGATAACATCTGTGTGTGCCTACTAGTGCCTACGCCTGTTTGTGCGCTGGATGCATTGTACGTGTTACCTACTTCACCTTGTATGGCCTAACAGCCTTGCTGAACACGCCGTATGCCGTTCCTCGCATCCAGGCGTGCTCTACGACCTGGACTCCGCGGGTGTCAGCGCCGTGCACTCCGCCCTGGTGGAAGACGCAGCGCGCACCGCCGAGGAGGTGGCGGCGGTCGGAGAGGATGAGGAGGAGGCGGGGCCCGCGCCTGCAGAGCGGGAGCACGTGCTGCTGTCGTACTACTCCAGCCGGGCCCTGCGGCGGCTCATTCTGGCGGCGGCGGACGAGCAGCCCGCCGGTGCTGCCGCCGCGTTTGTGGCGGCGCTGTGGGAGGGCGCCCTACAGGGCCGCTGCGCGCAGTGGGTGGGCACTCACGGTGAGAAAGTGCTGGCGGCGCTGCTGCATAGCGGTGTGCCCGCGGTGGTGCAGGCGGCCAGCGAGGAGCTGAAGCCGCTGGTGAAGCAGCCGCTGGAGGAGTGGGCCAGCCGGTTCCTTAGCCATGGGCAGGGGCAGCGACAGGAGGGGGAGGCAGGGAAGGAAGATGCTGGGAAGGCAGCCAAGGTCCCAGCTGATGCGGGCTCGAACAAGCGGGCTAAGGGTGTGGAGGGGAAGCGTGCGGCGGCGGCCGAGGAGCCCCGGGAGGGGCCCAAGGCGGCGCCGAGCGGGAAGGCCGCTGCGAAGGGGAAACGCAAGTGACTGCGTGCGTAGAGCTGTTGAGACCACGTCATTGTGGTGTGTGCATTAGCCGTGTGAGCTAGGTCAGGAGTTCAGTTGCAGGGAGTTGGTGTGTTTTGTATGCCAGCATGTGTACTGTGACCCAACAGCAGGATGCAAACAACGAGCATGCCATGGGACTTCAGCGTATGACGGTCATTGACCCTGGGCGTACACGTTTGTATGCCTTAAGAGCATACGCTCCGAGGTTCAGACGTATGAAGTGTAACGGAAATTGGTTCTGATTAAACCCGTTTCTCCTTGCGCCCCAGTTGACCACTGAGCGCTTAGGACTCGACATATCGAATCTACTACCGGTAATGAACTACTACGTCAAGTTGCGTTACATCAAAGCTCCACCAGGGCGCCATACCCCGTCACACCATGCCTAGAGACGCAGCCAACATTGCTACTGCATACGGAAGTAGGGCTGCATCGTGAAACCCAGTAGAGTAGTAGTTTCGAAATGAAGCCATAGCACTCGCACAATCCAACCGTCACACCCGGGGGGACACCTGATACTAGATCCCTTCAGACTCATGGCGACTGCGTGCTACCCTATTCTTGGAAGGCAAGTTGGAGCACACCAAACCCCTCAATGCCAGAAGAACGAGTCACCATAGAGCGTCACGTAACCGTTGCTCAGTTACAACTAAGGGTAGTAGGCACCTCGCCTACAATACCGAACCAACCAACCGCAGCATTGCTGCGTGAACCCAGCAACACGAGAACTGCTCTCATCCCGGGCACGTCAGCTAGGCTCCCCCGGCAGGGCCTTCATGCCTCCCTACTCCATTCCAACAGGCCGTTGCAACCTGTCATGACTCCGAGCTCTCCGGAGCTGCTTCACACACCGCTGCAGTGGAGCCGCCTCACAGCTCGTCCTCCGCTCGGAGGAACTCGCCTGCACAGGGGGGAACAAGGAACATGGAGTTGGCGTTGGACAGTCCAGGTGCCGTGCTAGTCTGGTGTTGACGCGCATGCGGACAGCTAGTAAGGCCAGCCCGCAGCACAGCAGCTACAAATGAGACCTACGTAGCAGGTCGCCCGTCTTTGTTTTGCACGTTTGCTCTTTCCTTTCAGGTGGACTTGCAGGGGTTCTCCGGAGGTTTCAGGAGCGGTTCCTTCCCGCTGGTTTGGTTTGGTTTCTTGCCTTCCTGTCCCATTGTTATAACATTGCACATCCACCCAACACGGCCGTGACGGTACCCCCTTTCATCTCTGGGCCTCTCTCCCCTCTCCTCCTTTCCCCCCCGTTCCTCCCCCAGGTCCCGGCCTACCGCAGTCTGCCTGGTGGAACGCCACCACGGAGCTGGGGTCCAGGCTGCGGCACTCGTTGGTGGACTTGGCCGACACGCCGAAGCCCAGCGGGATGTCCGCCATGTTGTACACCACCACCCCCGTGTAGGAGGGCGTGTTCTCGGTGATGCGCGCCAGGCCGCTCTTCAGCACGTTGTTGCCGTACAGGAACTGCATCTCCGCGGAGGGCTTCACCCAGATCTGGGGGTGGGGGGGTGGTGGCAGCCAGGCGCGGGCATGGAGTTGACGGAGGAGAAAAGAACAAGACCAAGTTGGTGACGTGTGGCAACAGGTAAGGGAAGGAGGGAAAGGGTCGTGTTGCCGGGGCCGTGTGCTGTCGGGAGGGAGGTAGCTGTTGGGGGCCAAGCACACAGCCGTAGGGTGCAGACATGTGGCGGAGATGTTGCCAGTAAGCCGTAGAGGTGGCTCAAGGCAGGAGGCACACATGAACGCATTTTGACGCCCAATGCCGCATACGATAACACCATGGTAGACGTATGCGCGCTCCACGTCACACCCATGTCCCTAGCCCATGTGGCGCCCATGGCAACTCACCTTGTACTTCGCATACTGAGAAATGACGTCTAGGGCTCCGATGGTTAATCGGAACTTGCCCGTGTGCGTAAGCTTCCCGACGCAAGTGCCGAGCGCTACTAGCTTATCTCTAGCCACCTGCAATTACAGGTTCAGCGGTCAATTGTCAACCTCCAGTGGCATGTGCATGGCGTCAGCGTGAGTGCCGTGTCCCCGGTTGGGTAAAAGAAGTACAACCTGGCTTCAGACCTAACCCCGCAAACCCCAAACGTGGCCACCTAGCCTCTCCCAACCAGGCTAGTCAATTAGTTACTTCCTCTTATTCCCCCAACCAGGCTGACCGGTTGGCGGTTGGCCTGGGGAGCAGCTCACCCAAACAGGCATAGCAGATACTTACATTTGTCGCCTTCTTCATGAGCTTCTCCTTCACATAGTATACTCTATTTTTGTGTAGGCGGAAGCAGTAGGGCTCGTTCGGCCGGTCGATGAGGTTCTTTATGTTCTTCCCGATAAATTTATAAAGCTTCTCAAACACCGCTTTCGTCTCCTATGCATTCAGTAAACACCAATAACTGTTAACAGCGAACTTAGCAAACGGGCGGCCCATGGTACCCAGCCGTTGGCGGCGCGCTTGCTGAAAGCCGAGTGCCTGATGCTTATGCAAACTTGCCTCTTCCGTCAGCGGCCGCATTCTAGCTGTTGGCCTTTATGCTTGGCGAGGAGAACGAAGGCGTACGTTAATAGGAACTACCTGGAAATCTATACGTAGTGTGTTACAGCTGTTGCACAAGTTATCGGCAAACGTTTAACTGCAAAGAGGGAAGAAGGTTTCTTACGAAGCTACCTTACTGTACGGAAACGAACTGGCAAAATATGTTCACCTTTCGGGATAAACACGGCTTTTCAATCTAGTTATGCGATAACCTAAATATACGAGACGTTTCGCAAAAGTTTCTGTGAAGTAAATACTCGGCCCGGATAAGCACGCGCTTTGACCTCTTAGCAACTACAAGATGACAACTCTTCTTCCACCTGTTCAATACCATATTGACACTGACGCAGAGCTGGAAGCGAAATTGGCGAGTAAAGGCCTGAAAGGTTCGTCGGCATGTCCAGCGGCACATCGAAGTGCAGTTCGTCCTAAAGCTGTCGCCCTTTGCAGTCGTGGAGATCTTCTCCGAGTGGTGCGGCACATGCAAAAGCGTCCTGCCGACTTTTAGGCGCATTCGCCTTGACAGAGACGACGAGAGTGCGCTGCTGTTCTTGACGGTAGGGGCACAATCTTGTGCCTGCTATGCGCGTGCCATGCCCTCCACTAACACACGGTGCCCACCTCCAGGTGTGCGCTGAAAAATGCAACTTCCTAGAAGCAGCAAAGGAGCACCGGGGAAAGTCAGAGCCCCTCTTCCTACTTTACAGGGCAAGTCCATAGTTCATCGATTTCCAGTGGCTTCCCGGGTCGATGCCGAAATCCAAATGGTTTTATGTGACAGCAAAACCCGCAGGACAACATGTACGACATATGAACGCAACCTCATGTTTCCTTCCATGCTGCGCTCCCATTTTCCGTTGTTGCGCAGAACGGGCAGCTCAAAGCCCGGATAGAGGGCGCCAACACGCCGGCGCTCAACCAGCAGGTGCTGGCGCTCACGCCCGCCAACGCGGATATGGATGATCTGGAGGTGTGTGGCGTACTGTTGGAGGGTGGGCAGGAGCCGTCAGGCACTACTGCTGAGGGTGTTAAGACTTACCTGAGGGTGTACAGCGTGGTTGGCCCCTGCCGTGGCTTTCTCCCCATATCGTGGCTTCCTCGCAGTTTCGTGCGGGATCTGCGGAAGCCATTCTCGTTGGCCGATACCCAGGATATGGGGTTGTTGTCCGTAGGACAACCCAGCCCTGCGGCACTGCTGCCAGTTTTGTTTTTATGTGACTTGTTACAGACACAGTACTAGTACTACCCTACATGCCGCATAAAAAGCCGTGCTTGAGGTGCCGGGCCCCGTCACATCGCCTTCATGGCTCCACTCCTTCTCGGCTCCCCGGGGGCGGGGGCCGTGGGAGGAGTGGGGCTGTGTTGTAGACGTAGTTTGGGCTTGTGCCGTCGGTCCCTGCAGTAGTTTCATGTGCCGAGGCACCTGGGCATATCTCCTCGATGCAACCAAGGCGCAACATAAATCTGAGCCGTGTTGGTGTATGCCCCAACTATGGGAGATGCGCGTGTTGGAGTAAACCCAACCAAGCCTTGCTGATGGGCACGTGTGCCCTTCCCCCACCCTCGTTTGCATAACCCCCACCCACTCACTCCCGCGGACTCGTTGTTTCACTTATTTAATTTTTTACCCACTCCCGCGGTCGCAGGAGAACCCCATTTACCTCGCCAAGATGGAGCGCGAGCGGATTGCACGGGGGGAGACCATTAAGGACTCCAAGGCTGGCAAGAAGGGCGGCAGGAGGTAACCCGAGCACCGCATGCGGTGCTTATTCAGCATGCAACTGGGGGTAATGGCGAACGTCCAAGGAAGCGCTGCTGTTGGCTATCATTTGTAATATGACAGATGCTTATGGCATGTGCCACACAATGTATAGTTCCCGTGGGAGATGTGCGATAGACAAAGGGCGTGATCACGTCGTGTATAATGGAAATGCTTTTTACAGGGTGTGGTCGAGTTTGGTCAAGGCTGGGGTCTCACAACCTGTCTTTGTTTACCTTCACGATCGCCATATTTAGGTCGGGAGTCAGCATCCTGGCAAATGGGGCCCAGATGCGATGCGTGGGCTTTTACCGCAGCCTGGGCCGGTTTTATGCTGCACGAGCATGCCGGTTAGGGCGCATGGTTGCAGTTAGAAGTCGTCTTGGGATCGTGATCGCGCGTGTCCTAATATAAAAAGAAGCCTTGTCTGAGTTGAACGCCGGGTCGGTGGGCATGGCCTGGTTGAGCTGCAGGGGGCAGCACAACAAACTCGTACGATGAACTTGTAGACACCAGTCATGTCGATACCGCGTCTCCGCCCAACGGCTGTTGCGGAGTGAGGGAAAGAGGACATTGTATGTTTCGCTTCCAGGCGACCATGGATGAAAATCTATCAATGCAAGGGCTGGCTCTGGCTGCCCCACCAAATTCGTCGATGTGGGTTGGAACAAAGCACACGCACATTTCAGGATCAGTTCTACAAGCTCTACTACTGATAAGCATCAGTGCTCCTGTTCCGTTGCCGACCTGTGGCCGCCAAACTGTAGTGGTTGGTTGCACGACTAACGACTACAGCAGCTGTCTCCTCATCTTCACAGCTGTTGGGCTGTAGAAGTAAGGACCATAGCACATATGTATTCGAGGCTAGCTCCTTTTTACAGGTGGCTCTTACCACGCCGTCTGCTTCTAGACAGCTAGGCCCGTACGTCTGAGTATCGGTACAGTCAGTTTCCAGGGCCACTCACGTTGCTGTCAACAACTCTTGCTGCCTTTAGAACATGCCAAATACTCCGAGTGGTAAGCCTCTATTATAGCTTTCGGTTGGCACTTTCGCTTACCTGGCATGGAGCATTGAACTCTTTTTCTTTTCAACGACAGTCCAAAACTACTAATAATGTGCCCATTGTAATAACTCCTATTGGTACGGCTACCCTCGACGCAAATACGGTAACGTGCACATTGTAGTAACTCCTATTGGTATGCCTACCCTTGACGCAGCTGGGGCGGTGGAACGGGCCAATGCAAGTTACAGTGAACTATGCCGTCGGCCCCTGAGGCGACATGCCTCAGGGCCAGCGCAAGATGCAGCAGGTATGCATTATCCTATCGGTAATGCGCGTTAACAAAAAGAAGTGTGTGCGCCTGCCAGTTTGTGTGTTTTCTTTGCTGAGCTTCCTTTGTGCTGCAGGAGCTGTTACTGGGCAGAAGGGCGACAAGAACCCGCTGAGGGGCAGGGGTAACCCTCCAGCGGAAGAGAAGGAGTGGCAATTCCAGTCGTCAAAGCATTTCGTCCCTGGGAAAAGCTTCGCGCCTTCCCTGTAAGAGTTCCAAGACGGGCTTTCCTTGATACAACGGGACTTGAAAGGGAACGCATGTTTTGCCTGGCTTGGATTACCCCATTTCCCCAGCAATAGGCCTCAAAACAAGGGCTTACTTCAGCAACTGGTCGCTCCTTGTTACGGGGTTGTTAGGCTTGGGAGCATGCCCGCCTGGATAGTGGTAGCGTGCACCGGCTGTGCTGTGTAATACGGTAGCCATCCGGCCTAGTTGCTGACAGTGGGGCTGCATGGGTCCCCCAGGACGGGCGTGTTGGAGCGACGGGCGGGCTCCTCAGGGCCGGCAACCGGCAACTCTGTCCGGACAGAGCTGCGCCTCTCACCCCGCTCCTATCAGTCGCATCTGGCGGGTAGTGCCGTTTCCGTGACGTCCGAGGTGCGTTCGCAACTGCGGAAGGTTCAGGACCCAGCCGCTGTCTCTTGCAGGTATGCAAGTGCCGCTCTGACCGTTACATGACTTCTGCATGTGAGTACCTTATGCAGGCGAATGTGGCGAAGCCAATGCGGCGGCCTGGTTCCGGAACACCCCGCACCCAGCGTGTGTTGGGCGTCGCAGCTGACGCGGATGAGCCGGTGCAGACCACCTTCGCTCTCTTCGGCTCTAGCAGCCGACAAGGTACGCTGCTCCTCTTCCCTTTTGGGTACCTTCCTTGTAGCTGAAGCGGTTGCCAATTGCTGCACAGGCAAATATGGGTTCACCAGGCCGACAACAGCGCCTGCACTCTTTCTGCGCACGAAGGCGCAGACGCGAGTTGGCTACGAAACTGGCCGTAGCGCGCATGGTGACGTGTTGAACTACCGGCACTCCGGTGGCATCTGCCCGCCGCAGCACAAGGTGAGTACCGACGTTTCAATCCACATTGCTTACACCACTCGCGGCTCAATACCGTACATGGAAACACCTGGCAAGCCCTGAGGCCCAGTTCACGGCACCGCTACTGGCAAGCGCCACCACTGACCACCGGGCACCCTGTGCTTGCCCCATCACATGCAGTTGGTCACGGAGCGCCCAGCTGCCCCGCAGCTGACCGCCCCCGCCTCGGAGCAAGCGCGCAGCGGCTTCTTCGACGCCCGCACCAGCTACCAGGTCAACAAGCTGCGCTCGCAGAGGTCTGACATCCTAGCCATGGATTGAGAGGCTGCCCTTGCGTGCAACAGGTGCAAGCTACCGGTACTGGTCGCCGCATCACATTTGATGTACGGATAAGCTGCTTGTTGCATGGTACAACATGTCCTGTGACACTATGTGTACGTTTTAACAAATTATGACTTCGTCAGCCCATGCGCAGTGTTCTGCGGTATTTCCTTTTTCACCTATGGTGACATTTTGTCTGGTTTTTTATGCTGTCCTACTGCAAGCATGTAGGGAACGGCTGTTCGGTAGCAATACTTTGGAATGAATAACCTAATACGCATGTGCGTCCGTGCCGGTATGTGATACTTGCAGGGGTGTAGTTCATGATTCATGATGGCGATGTACCGCTCCTGTGCAATGGATATCCTTCCAAGCAACACATGATTTCGCAAACCCGTTTTTCTATAGGCCATGGCATATCCTTGCTGCTGCCGTGCTGCGCGTTATGTAAGCTGGCATTGCTGGGATCGTCCACGTCCTGCGTCTAGTCCCGAAAGGACCATGCAGCTGCCTGGAAATCATGCGTGTGAGAGTCAGGACCATAGGGACACGCAGCTCGCCAGGTACTCGTTACAAGAGGCTCCTTCCTGTCCACCTAGACGGTCATCGTTTAGGCGTCGGGGATCTCGATGTTGCCCTCGTCGATCTGTGTTAGGGAGTGGAGGAGGGGGCATGGGCCAAAGATAACAGACATCAGTACATAGCAAGACATCATTAGTCCGGCCAGAAGGGCACATTTTGCCCTTGCAGGTTAAAAGGTCAGAGACACTCCCAAAACTGAAAGGCATCGCAAGGCTATGCGTCCACGAGCTACCCCAAATACAAATCAAGGACATGCTAATGTGCTGGCGACATGACCATACCCCCCATGCTATAATGAATAGGCTTCTATAGCTGAATACCTCTTGCAACCCCTTTCTCCCTGCCCGGAATGGATCGCGCGTCAGACACCTAACGGCCAACGGGAACCCATACCCCATATTAAGGAAATGCAAGGTAACGGCAGCGTAACACAAGGCTCGCAGTAAAGCAGCCTCTGTACAACCCGTACGAATGACACCTGCCATGCCGGGTAATCCAACACCTCAGTGCAAAGGCGCATCGCAACGCCCTGCCCTAGCAGCTCCCCATGCGCCCACTACTTCGTGGACCCAATGACGGTCGAGCCATCTCAACCCTGCCCCTAGCTCTCCCTCGCGGCAGGACAGGATCCGGGGACGACGGCCGCATCGGCAGACGTAGGTATGGCAATACGCAAATGAACCGGAAACTGAAGCAACCTATGTGGGCGGTTCCCAGCAGAGAAAGCCATAAACGTGTTCCAAGCTTTGCCTCCACTACTGCCTAAAGCCACTGTTCCTAACCCCGCCGGCCCTAATGCACCTAGTTGCTCCTGCCCCACGTTTGTGCACCAGTTCATTGCCCTGGGGTCACATGGCTGTCATGATCCCGCAAGTTACGCTATGCGGGCACCACAGCAATGCCCAGCTGCTCCCTTACATGCCTTACCTGGTTTGCTGGGGAGTTGCTTCCTTAACCGCCGAGATCCACCCAGTGCCCTCCCCAGCCTCCTATTTGGCTCATGAATGTCATATCTGATTGTCCCTAGTGCTAATTTAATACCCCAGCATGCCCTTGAAAACTCCCAGCTAACCCTCGCCCCCCAGCCCTATTAGGGACCTTCCCGCCCTACCCACCGCAGCCATGATGTCGCGCGGGTCCTTGCCGTCCACCTTGCAGCCCACCGACACGGCTGTCCCGAGAATCTCCTTGCAGCCCATCGCCAGGTCCTTGGCGCAGCTGCGAGGCCGCATGACGCGGGCAATCTCGATGATATCCGACATGGTGACGCTGCCAGTGTGCTTGATGTTCTTCTCCTGCGCGGCACAACGTCCAGCGGCGGTTGGTCCCATATGTTGGGAACTGCATTGCATGCCGCCTAGTCCAGCGCTAAAGCGCCCACCCTAACCTATGTAAGATTACTGCAGTATGTTCTCCTAAATTTCATATATATCTATATTTATTTGATAGCCCTGAGGCCTGTACGGACGGCGGCCGGCGCGACATGGAAGGCTGGCGGCTGCGCTGCTGCAAATTAGGCGCCAGTAAAAGCTCTCCAGCAGCTCTGAGGCCCACCTTCTTGCGGTCCCGAGGCGGCTCCTTCAGGGCCTTGATGACCAGAGCAGCAGCCGAGGGGATGACCGAAATCTTAGCCTGGCGGTTCTGGACCGTAAGCTTGACGGTGATGCGCAGGCCCTTCCAGTCCTTGGCTGTCTCCTTGGCGATGTCCTCACCAATCTTCTTTGGCGAGAGACCCAGAGGACCAATCTTGGGGGCCAGCGATGAGGCGGCACCCACCTCGCCACCCGTCACACGCACGCACACCTCAATCACCTCACTAGGGTCGAACTTCGGCGGCATTTTGCTAGTGATGCCGCTTTGGTGAAAAGTTGAAAGAGGGAGAACGTGGAAGTTGCACCAGAGTATAGAGCGAGCGCTTTCCGCTCCAGGAGGGCCTCCCAGGAAACTTAAGAACAGACCATGCAAATCTGCTGCCTACATACTTGTTTGGTTAGTCGCTCTCGTGCTTTGTTCATGATAGCGGTGCATATTACAGACGGAGTGAAAGCTACAAAGGGACCGAACAATGGCTCATGACCTCTTACACTCTCCGTAAGCAATGCACTCACATGTAACTTGCAATATCTACCATTCTCTTCTCCAATAGTGGTTAGATTACAGCCAGGTTCTGCTGCCTTACAGTGTTTTCTCATCTTGCAATTTCAACGGTGAAGTAGCATGTGTTGCATTATAGTCATGGATGTTGCTGAACCTCGCTGAGCTCCTAGAAACTGATCGTCATTATGGCAGTGTTGGCGTTTGCCCGGATGCGTTGCATCTAAGGGGCAAGGGCGGTTCCAAAGTCCATTCCCAGACGCAGCAGCAGAGATGCCTGGGTATGGAGGGTTTGGACGTCAAGCGACTTCAGTATGCAGATGCAAAGCTGCCCTGGCCAGTTCGGCTGGAGCTCTTAAAGGCACATGGCGCTATAAGAGGGCATCCCTATGCTGGGGTCCGCTGACGGAGTTTCGGTGGTCGAATTTGGTCTGTGAAGAGGCAGGAGACCTGGAAGCGGAGGAGCTATTCCGCACTCCGGTTGTGCTGCATGCCTGCATCACAGTGCTGCAATGAAAGCCTTGTCACGCGCGCTTGCCAGCATTTTGGATTAGTGGAACGTTAGGGGAGTGGCTTGCTTAAGAACACTCAAGGAGTGCATGCCCCTCTAGGACTGTCTTCTTTAACGACGCTGTACGGCATAGAAGCCAATGCGGGGTATGATGCACCACTAAAGTGTTGATGGACGGCACGACCCTTCCCTAGTATCCCGCGACAAGGCCCCCTGCTTTGCTACATGGATTCAAGACACGGGGACACCAAGATGCCGTGCGGGAAAAGTAGCATCCTTCAGCCACGATATGTTGTTACATGTGGGTGTTCTACCGTCTTTCCACAGGGGCACGTTCCGAACACACCTAAACTCCAATCCTAAATCCCCGTCCTGCAGCATCATTCATTCCAAAACGTTCCTAGTCAGACTCCGTACTATCCGATGGCGCTCACGGGATTACACTCCGCAGGCGGCGTGCGAGCTCCTCCATAGCTTGAAGGCCCTCAGCCTACGAAGTATCAGTGCGGGATGCAGCGCAAGTTGACGCCAGGTGCATGCAGGGCATGGAACTAAAAGGGACCTTCTCGATATGTTCGCTTAACAAGCACATGTAATGGTCAATGCACGGGAGAACCAAACCATACTAACATAAAATGCCCTCGGCACTTACCGGTGACTTGGCCTCCCCGAGTGCCTTTACAAGCGCGCTGCCGATGATGACGCCGTCCGCACCCCACGACACGATTTGCTGCGCCTGCTCCGGCCGTGACACGCCAAAGCCCACGCAGACCTACGCAGAAAAGGAGGGCCGTGCATCATGGCACGTCAAGGATCAGCCATAAAGGCAGGCATGCATCATGCTTGGGGCCCATGTGCTGCTGCTGTGCCTTGACCGATGCAAGGTAAATCCCCGGCAGTCGTGCGCACAGCCCTGCTGGTGCTCACCGGCTTGTCTGTAACCTCCTTCAGGCTCTGCACCAGGCCCTCCACACGCGACTCCACAGTGTCCTTCATGCCCGTCACGCCCGTCAGCGACACCAGGTACACGAAGCCCTGGCTGGCCTGCGCAATCGCGCTCATCCGCGCCTGAGGCGTGGTGGGCGTTGTTAGGAGCACCAGCTCAATCCCAGCGGCCTGGCACGCTGCGCGCACCGCCACCGTCTCCTCCAGCGGTAGATCCGGCACCAGCAGGCCTGGCGCAATGCAAAGATGATTATTAGCGTCAGTATTGGCAGCGATACTACCCATTTGTACTGCCATCCACTCGCACGGTGCTCCCGGGTCCATCCATAATGGATTCCTTGTTATGGCTATGGGGCGGGGGGCAATGGCGATTGGGAGCCTGGCTATGGCAGTATTGTAGAACCACGCGACGTCCAGGCAGCGGCACCACCTCCTCACCCGCAGCACCGGCCTCCTTGATGGTGCGGCAGAAGTTGTCTAGGCCCTTCCGCATGATGGGGTTGTAATACGTGAACATCACCAGCGGCGCCTTCAGGGTGGGTGCGGTGCGGCGCACCATCTCAATGACGCGGTCCAGGGTCGTGTGCTTCTCCAGAGCACGCGTGGCAGCCCCCTGGATGACGGGCCCGTCCGCAAGAGGGTCCTGCGGAAAGCAGAAGGGGCAGGTGCGCTCATGAGCCCGGTTGCAGCTCAGCGGACATTGTTACGGAGCGGACAAGGAGCTTTGCCCACATGCCATGGCTATCGGTTTTCCAGACGAGCGTATGCATCAAACTCCACTCCAAGCTGAGGTAGATTGGGTACAACCGCAGCGCAAGGCTTACACGAGAAGGGTAACACACGCACGGCGACCGCCAGCACAACCTTTTAGAAGTCGTCCACAAACATGCCCCCTCGGCATGTATGAGCAAGTGTCGAACAGGTGCTAAAATTTATTGGTCACTAGTGCAAGCGCCCACGCCTTACCGAGTACGGCACGCCCAGCTCAACAACATCTGCGCCAACTTCGTCAAGTTTGCGCAGAGCCGCTGACGTCGTGTCAAGGTCAGGATCCCCGGCGCAGATGAAGGGAATGAACGCGACTCTGTAGGGTTGGCAACGCCGCCGACGAGAAGTTCATGAAATTGGGTCCATGTATAATTACAATTACAATAGCTGAATCCTTTATACAGTAAAACATAAAATGTCGCTGGTATAGACCGTGTTCATTAGAACTTACTTTCCCTTGGCCTTCAATTCGTTCAAGGTGCCAGACACCGACTTGGCTTGTACTGCTGCAACATTGCATACATGCAACGATCGAGAACGTTGTGAACGAGCTGATGCCCTAGCGGCTGGTTGATGTGCGCTGCGTAGGCACCGCTGCATCATCATTTTTCTATTTGTTACACTGCAACCACAAATACATTGAGGGTCGAAAACCTTGGTAGGCTTTGTTTAGGGGTCTTTACAAGCGTGCGCAAGACGCAGTTAATGGATCCGTGCAAGTACGGGAATCATGAAGTGACGCCTCTTTGTTGTCAAAACACATCTACTCCCAATTGCCCCATGGGCAACCTTGCGTTCCAACAAGCTTACTTCAGTAAATGCGTGCGACATAAGAACTCGCCGTGTCCTGCCTTGCCATGCGGTGCCATGGCACCAGCGCCAACGGAGTTACGATATACGCCATGAACAACCAAGCGGTTGTCTCCAGCGCAGAGCCTATACCCCCCCATGTCGCAATAAAGGCTGATCCTAAGCCGCGTGCGCACCTTCACTAGGTCATGGTGCAGCTGTCGACCCTTTGACTCCCTTGCCAACCTACTTGAACCTTGGCGCATTTAAGCAGGGGAGATCCAGGGCTCGAAACGTAACTTTATGTCATGTCCATGACGCTGTACACGCATGTGGGTTGCGTCAAATAGCCCCGTCGTAACTTCAGGATGGGAAGCTCCAGCGCAAAAGGCGGAAGTACTCCACCGCCTCCTGCATGCCATAGCCTGTGACTGTGTAGTTGAGCAGAAAACAATAGCAAGCAGTTGGGATAGGTTCGCATGTGCATACCCATCCATAGTCACCGTGGATAGGGCTTGTCAGTTACAATTTGTATGCTTCGCTGTCAGTTATGTACGCTCCGCCCCGAACTTATTGCTCCTCGCATGCTCCTTCAGCACCTCACCAAGCTCCCGCTTTCTCACGCTGAGGCGTTCAGGCCATTCAGAGGAGCACCTCAAACTCCAACAGGGTTGGTTTCTCTTTGACCCCTGGGGTCAGCTCATCCTGGCACTCACATGCCACCGGAGGCGTTCTTTTGCTGTTGCCGGCCCCCGGGCCAGCAACCCCCCTCCATGTCACATTTACGCGGATGACATGATCAACTTGGGTGCGGTAAGTAGTGCTGGAAGGCTGAGCGGCGTGAAGCCCATTTCCGCAGCTATTACTCGTCCCTATTGTCGCCGCTGCTCTCACCCGAAGTCTTGCTGATGTTGGCATCAAGAATCTTGCTGCCACCATCAGCACTCCCGCAGCCCCCCAGATGCAACCGCCCCGCCTCCCCACTTAATTGTTCCTCTTGACGACGCGGCATCCGGAAACGTAGCTTGACACGGCATGGCCCTAGACTAGAAAAGGTAGTACTTGAGTCACTGGAAGCTGTGCTAGAGGACAACGTTGTGCCTTGCAATAAAGGCGCTGTGGTGGCAACCGTGAAGAGGATGGGCTGGGCTACGTCTGTGCTGTTTCTACTATCTAACCCCTTTATTACCGGTACATAACTTCACGCCCACGACACATCGACCAAAAGTACATTAGCAACAATAATGTGCACATGTGGGCTGTTCCGGGGGCAATGGTTACTGATTAGGTATGCACACCACAGCGCGATGTTACTGCCGGCGTACGTGTCCGTAGAATGTACCGGCTAGTGTCCACAGCAGTGTGGTAGGCCCTGCAAAACGTAATTCCTCGTGTCTTACCAGAACCGCATGAAATCCAAGCCGAATGGGGCCGTGCCATACAGTGCGATTGCATGCATTCTCTGAAGCTCCGAATCCACCATGCCGTAGGCTGCCTCGTGGACTCGTGCACTCGTCCTCTGAGGAAAGGAACAATTGCTGATTACATCACTCGGTCATTTGACGTTGCATTGCGAAAAGCCTATACTCGTTCTTGAGCTGCTGTATCGTGCGTAAGGAGCCCTCCCTAGGCGCCTATCCGGCAGTGCGCACCTACAACATATTGTGCGCACGCAGAGTGTTCCCACGGAGATGGAATTGTATCCTAGTATGGGAATGTCCCGGCGCTTCTATGGCAACTCCTTGGCTAGGGCCATGTGATAGACAGCGCGTCTACTTATTGACATGCTACGAGGCAACGATAAATATACTTGAGCACACCAAATTTGACGCACCCTACTTCTAACGGTCACGCCTGGAGGTGGTGGAGGCGCCATGAACATCTTGGCACAAGATACGCGGCCGAAAAATCCAACAATTGCCGCGCTTCACTTTCACAATGTGAGTTGCTCATTGATTTCGTGTTGTCGTCCTTTCGGCACAGATTTGTTCCCCCGCCGAGGTAAGGTACCGGTAGTCTATCTGTATACTCTTCGAAGAAGTCTATTGCGGTTCTTTCTTACCAATTTGGGTGATATCTAGTTGCGGATACACATACACGCCGGATTAAGCTCGCCATATTGAAGATGCCCTTAGTGTGTGGCGGCAAGCCTTGTCGGTTAACAAGACGAGGACGTAGGTGGCTCGTATTAAAAGACGTCCTTGGTCAAGCAATATCTGTTCGCTTGAGTCCTGTGTAAAGGCAGCATGTTAATGTGGCCATGTGCGTTACTGGTACTACTTCATCACTGCATATTCGCAGCCATCTAACGCGTAGGAAGTGTAATGAGGTGCTTCTTGCGCGAAACGTTACCTTTTCCGTTTCTAGGCTTTTCCTAGACAGCATACCCATGACGAGGCACGGTTCAGCCCCACAACAAATTATCTTGCAGTTATCCTGTTAACTGCTGGTAACATTCGCTCATCACCTTGGTGTGATGCCTCTCTACGCAGGAACGAGTGAAGGAGAAAGCTGGTGAACTTGCCCAAACCATTTCCCACAATGACATTCTGGGAGCTGCAGTGGACCATCACCGCCGGGTAAATTTATGGAGCTTAACAGGGGCGGGCTTTGCCGCAGACATGCTCCTCTGAATGCAGCCATGGCGAGGGGTACATGTATGTGCGCCAGTGCTGTTACCGTTATTCAGCTGCCCATTCAGTATGTGCCCTAATCGCCATACCGGTACACCAAGCACCCATCTCCCTTCCATGCCGACCACAGAACATGACCCTGCTGCACAACAGCAACACCTTCCGGTCGCGCATGACCGAGGCGCGCGCCTCGCTGCTGGAGGTTGACCACTTCGACGACAGCAGCACGGACGAGGAGGAGGAGCAGCAGCAGCAGCGGCGGCAGCCGGAGGGGAAGGAGGCAGGCAGCCAGGGCATCCAGCTGCCCGGTGTCCCGCAGCAGCCTCCAACGCCCGAGCAGGTCATCAGCTCGCCGTTTGACCGTCCGGGCGCCGCGGCAGGGGCAGCTAGCATCAGAAGGAGCAAGGAGGAACCTGATCCGATGTCGGTGTTGAAGCGGATGCGGTCGCAAACGGGCCCGCGCAGCTTGTCTCGCAAGATGCTGGAGGGCGTGAAGGTCCCGACGTATTCTGGCCAATTGACCGACGGCGACAGCGACAAAGAAGATGACGGCAGTAAGTGCATGGAGCTGCGCACGGCTAGTACCGGAAGCCTGCTTATGTGTATCGGAGATTTTTGTGGAAGGAATGAAAACCGCTCGTTCGTTTACCGTTTACCGGGTGTTGCTGCCATCTTCGTGCGGGTGGCTGGGAGTGCAATATGATTTCTGCTAGTGCCAAGTCAGCACTGATGAGGCCTTGTCACATGGCTACTTCTCCTCATATCCCCTTGTTGCTGTGCGTGTCCTTGTGGGACCATCTTCCAACTTTTGCGTTGCTTGCCCTCGCCCCCCGTGGCCGCAGTCTTCCTGCACAAGGAGCTTACCACTCTGCGCGGGAGGTCCTTCCTCGCACGCTCGGATCAGCAGCAAGCTAGCGCAGCCGGTGCGTCCACTCCGGGGTAGCCATACACGGAAGGGATCCCCTGCCGGTTGTAACACTGCATGTGGCATCTTCCTTGAACTCATCCCTGACTTAACAGCCCCCAGGGCTGCCGCCTACGCCACGGGTGGTATACCTGAACGAGCGCAATGCCAGGCCCCTCTTGCAGCATTGGCAGTCCTTGCTCGTTTCTCAATAAGGGACCTCGCTAAGGAGCCTTCATCGCATGTACGTTGGGCCTCTTTGTTTCCGTGCAGACGACATGTTGGCCCAGATCCGGGGCGCCAACTGGAACGCTGACAACAACACTACCGTCGTACCAAGGGTGCGCATTACAGTGGGCTCCGCGGGTGTCGCCTGCGTGGCCTAAGTGGCCTTGCCAAGCTGTTTGCTTTGTCCTAGGTTACATGCTGTCCACGATATACCGGTAGCCCGTGTGGGGTCGGCGTCTCCTGGTGTGCGGCGCCGTGGTACCGGTGGTGCAGTAGTGGAAATATGGGGAGCCCCATGAAGCACCCGGCAGGGTTGCTTCGTGAGCACTTCTACCCATGCCATGACACGCATAGGTAGCGCCGTGGATAACCGCAGCGCACCTTGGTTTCGCTGTTGCCGACAGGTTGGAAGCCGGCTGCAGTTGGCTGCGTCCGCCCCCTTCCCGTCAAAGCCCGCCGCGGATGCACCGCCCTCCACAGCGCGCACGGGGGGCCGCAGCTCCACGGGCACCGGCATTGTCTCGCAGCCCACTTGGGCTCCGGGTCCTGGCCTTGCTATTGGCAACACAAAGAACAGCATTGCCCCGGGTAAGCATGCAGACTGTAAACCTTAACTGATCCTCAGCTGCTAAGGCTAAGCACTGGAGTTTGGCGTCGCCGTTTTCAGCTAGTTCCGCCCTTCTGATTACAGCCACAGGCAAGCGAGCCGGCGCCCTTCCCGGCGTCAGCGTTGACTCCTCGCCGCTAGCGAGGGACACGGCTGAGGGCGAACGAAGCCCCGGGTCAGCTGCGCGCGAGGTGGCCCCCGCCGCTTCGTCCGGAGGCGGCCTGCTCGCTCGTATCAAGCACATGCTGAAGCACTAGGCGTCCACGCTGCATGGCACAGTGGCTCAACTGCCATGTTGTACTGTACCGTAGAAGAAGCGCCCAACGGCACGTGCACCGGCCTGCACACTTGTGTGGAGTGCAGCCTCCAAGCCGCGGGGCCGGAAGATAAGATGGTGGGTCATGGCACCGCTGGGGGCAGTGGAATGTCATGAAGTATACTGACTTGGGCTTTTACGTGCGCTGTCAACTGTCATGACATTCACACTGTTGAAGGCCTACGTACTACCTTTCGTAATGACGACTGACACTGGGCGCATTGTATACCGGTATTGCGTCATGCATGCGCTGGCTGTGGTCCAACATGCATGGAAGAGCGGGACGTGAGGGAGTAACGTCTGGAGGAGTTGATGCATGTACTGAAGCCTGGGGCGGCAACACTCACACTTAGCAACGCAGTCAGGTGTAGACCCTGCGTCCTTCCGGTGCTTGACTGCCCTTGAATTTGCGCTCGATCAAAACGCTTGCATCTGCCACTGACTGGATTGTGTTTATGCTGCTCATATTGGTGATCTGCGACCGGCATGGCTAACCAGCTTGCTAGGTCCGCTAAACAGTATGCAGATATTTGCTCCTCGTTTGTTGGCGTTTGGTGTTGTGACCCTCGATATGGTTGTGGGGTTTACGAGGGCGTTCAGATCGCGTTGGCGGCCTGACGGTGCCCGCAGTTACTGGCGCATGATACTGAGGAGGTACCTTCGGACCCTTTTGTGTCGTCGGTGGTTCCTTCATCCTTGACTTGCACCATCAATGTTAACCCCCGTACGAGCGGGTCGGTGGGGGACAGTCGCAGGAACTGCTGACCCGTGGACGGGCACTCTTGCTTTACTGCTTGCTTGCGTCCTAGCACTTGATTCGGCGGGCGGGCCTGTATTAGGCTCGTGGCTTGTCTTATGCCGTTGCAGTATTGCCATAATAAATATGCATGTTGTGATACACGTTCTGCCACTTTCTTGCTTGCATGGGAGGCCGGCTGTACAGCAGGGGAACCCTGTCGCCAACGTTTTTGTCTTTGCTAGTCAGCAGACGGCATGTTCCGCCGTCGCTTGGGTAGGACTTCTCTCTTTGGTAACGCCTTACTGTGATCCCGACCAATAGGACTTGGACCTTCATCAGTGGGTGGATGCGCGGGTGATGTGTGCACCTGTTGTACTGGTTGTATGGAAGGATGGGACGGCAGTTGGTCTGCAACATGAAGAGTCCGAGGCATGGCGGTGCCTCCACGGCGGGCATGTGTTGTGTTGGTTGAAGGGGAAGCATGTTGGGGGCTATCACGCCGGTATTGCGAGGGACGGAACGCTCAAGCTGGCCGGACCCTACATCGGGTTGGATGTTGCGCTGGGGTGAAGTTCGCGGGTGTGGTGTTGTTGGCATGTATGTTCATAGGATCGCGGGTGTTATTTTCTATCGATTGCTGCACGCTCGCTGAATTTGCTTGCTGAACCGCTTTCGCCATATGGGTGTAGAGCAGGTGAGGCAAGGAGATTAAAGACGAGTGTGTTTTTCCCTAGCGGTGTGTGATACGGCGCTGTGAAGGCGCTGGCAGAACGTTATATGCAGTTGACGCAGTAGTTGTGGCAAGTAGACGTTGAAGGGGTTCCTGAAGCTTTTGCTTCTTAATTTTCTTGAGGGCCGCTGCTTGGCCTTGCTATGGTCACGTTACCGTGTGTCCCTTGTAGACACAGCGAGTGGCCAGAAGTAGCGTGCAATCATGTGCTCTGCTTCCCTTGCAACGTCCACCCTCCGCAACTGTGACTTGTAGGATATCTCAACCAGTGCCCAATGCTTGAATGACAGCCAAGCAGCAACCAAGACAACATACTGCTACGGCAGCAGCTACCTCGCACGGTAATCTGTGCGGGTTTAACCCTGTGCTTTAACTCGTGCATACTCAAGTGCAGAGCCCCAGACCACTCGCCAGATAGCAGAGAACACCGGTGCGGCCTCCTTTACAGCACGGACACCCCTCCCCCACAGGTCACCCTAGCATGCAAACAAATGGTGGGATGAGCGCTACCAGATGAAGGGCAGGATGGCCCGGCGGCTGGGGGGATACTCGCCCTTGAACTTCTCCTTGTACCAGCGGTGGTGGTGGTGCCCGCGTGGCGCCAGGTTGCAGAACGTGAACAGCGCGAACGCGGCAGCTGGTAGCGTGCCGGCCGCCAGCGCAAAGCCCGTCCACTCGCAGATCTCCGAAGCGTAGTTGCCGGCAGAGACAAACTCAAACATGCCGCCGCGCCTGCATGAGCACAGGTGTGGCGCTGGTTAAGAAGCCCAACAGCAAAGACGCGATTAGGCTAGGCGGCCGTTGCAAGCTGCATGTCATGCGAACGCAGCTCAGTAAAGCAAAGTGTGAAGTTTGGCTCGAGATAGGGCTGGGGCTGTAACACGGCTGCGGTCACGGGACGCAGCCCTTTGCGCTCCGAAAGTGCTCGCTGCCATGCCATGCGAACCCCAGCCATGCAAACCCCAGCAACTTGGAGCCCGTCACCAGGGAATACCAGCAGCACCACACACCACACCGCCGCCGCTACACCGCGGTGCAAGCCCGACCGTGGTGGCAGGATGGCTCATGTTGGCTGCCCACGCTGCCTCAACAGGAGCCGCCCGTCACTCACGGGATGTAGTAGCCCTTGTCACCGGGCTTGCGCAGGTTGATGAGGATAAGGTCGGAGCGCAGCACGTTGAGCCAGCCGAACAGCCACAGCGCCAGCCCAGCTGCCACGCGGGGCGACCAAGCGGGCTCACGTGGGCTCATGTGGTGGATGAAGCACCAACCCTGGGGGGCAGGCGGGTAGGAACGTGGCCTAGGTGGTGGTAAATGCAGTAGATAGGACATCCTTACACACGAGCCCTAGGAGGTCTTCACGCAAGAGCTTCGGGAAATGTGTTCCAAACGAGCCTTCCTGGCTGGCGCACGAAGGCGGCGCTAGCGTGTTTCAGGCCAGTTACCTGCAGGAATCCGTTCCAGATGCAGAAGACGAAGCTCATGAACCACACGCTCAGCGGCGTCGGCTTGCCGCCGCGGATGAGTAAGGGGAAGACGAAGGGGCGGTAGATGTAATGCACACAGAAGGCGCATGCCAGCACCGTACGTGCGCTCAACGGGTGCTGGGTGAAGCTCGAAATTCCCGACCAAAGAATCAAGCCCATGAACACCAGCGGCGACGGCGCTTCTTGCGTCTGCGTAACAGGCCCGCCCTGAGTTGTGTGGGGAGGATACGTGCGGTGCGGTGCGGTGCCGGTGGGACCCATATGCTGACCCCGCGGCACTTACCACCCACGCGAGGCGCGCGTTCAGCATAACTCCCCAGCCACTTCTCGAATACCGCCCATACGGTGCAGATATGCCGGCCATTAGGGAGACGAAGACAGGAAGCGCCATCAACAACATAGCCCATGTCGCAAGCGCGTGCCAGCCATCCAAGGCTGCATCAACGCCATTCTTCCCAAGCAGTTTATCATATGATAGGGTCAACATATTAAGAATGTTGGTAAAGGTGGCAAAGCATAATGCGGACTGGTCGCTAACTGCCAAGGCCAGCAGGGAGCGAGGGCCACCTTTTACGAATACCGGTACGTACAGCTACCAACGTGTCGCAAACTCAACCTGGGTTACCAAGAATCGCTGTCACCAGAAGAGTATGATTGATCTGGGCCAACCGCCGTACGGAACCCTAACTGTACGCGCAGAACATAGAAGCCGCTTTCATATGGTACACTATGTAGGCATGGGCTTTCTTGCTTATAGACTGCTGCAGTCTGCTCCTGGCCAAAGCTAAAGGATACCAGCGAAGCAAGCATGCAGATTGAAACTGTCTCTGGGGGTAAGAGGTTGAGCATACTGGGGAGATGCATCCGCCAATGCCGCAGCTGTGGAGGGTTGTGGAAGGTGTTACAGGGCAGGGGACACTCGTCCCGCCTTGCTTCTTTTGTGCATGGTATTGCAAGCAAGCGCGGGAAAAGGGAGGACTGGGATCGACTGGAGAACTGGGAAGGGTTCGGGCTTATTGCTTTGGCAGGGGTACCTTCAACATACCGGATGTGCGTGCCATAAGGAGGCACAATGATAGATTTGCATCGCGCGTGGGTTTGCCGAAACGCCACGGATGCGCCACATAAACCTCGTGGAAGAGCAGGCTAGGGGAGGTCCTATAACCCGTGCCCCTACATCGGCTCAACAGGGACGGCAATCGCGTAAGGCGATACCCCTTTTGCAGTGTCCCTCCCCTCAAAGCTGGCAAACTTCAATCCTTTCTCCACCACAAGCCTCTGGCGGGCGTATGACACATACGGCAGCCAACGAGACGTGCCATCATATGGCATAGTATGGCAGACAACGTTTCCGCGTGTTAGCCACTGAAGAGGCGCGCTCATCGGTGCAATGCGGCAGACAACAGGGATACAGGATATGGGCTCAGCCGCAAGGGACTCGGTACGCAGCCCTAGGTACCCGCTAGGTTCTACCCGTAACTAGCAGACGCATATGTGAACTGACAGGGATGCAATGCAAACTATATGAAGGCATGAAAATAAATTACGTTGCCAACTGGCAACACCCAACGCTTCACCACTGAAAGTCACAAGGTCCAGGAAGTCCCAATGCGAAGACATGCACCAGGCCATTGACTAATAAAAAGTAAAAATGTCCATGCTCCATGTGCCTCGATGGAGGGTCTTTGTACGGCAGGGTTACGGCCATGCGAAATGGCCCTTATTTACGTGGTAAAGACCTATCCAGGTCTAAAACTTCTACATAGAACGCTCTTCATACAAGTTTCATCAAGGCGCCACACCACTATGAACGTAGGTATTAGCATAGGCTTCTTACCGCCGACGATGTCGCTGAAGCTCAGAGGTTTCTGCTTGCAGGTCCGTGGTCTCTCTCGTCGCCTCTGGGTCTTCAACAAGAAGTGGCCTGTCCAGCTGCACGTTGCATGAGCGCTTTCTTCGACAGGCTCCGGAGGGCTTCCATCTCACCTTTAGATTTTACACTGCCGGCCTCAGCTTTTTGATTGTATTATATCATGACAACACTGCAACATCGTGCCGCGGCTTCGACGCGGCTGCGCGACGCCCCAACCCTTCCCCACTCGCTTGTTCGCCGCGGCTTCCTTCGGCACCCTGCACGCCAGGCAGTTTCAGCACGGCCGCGTCTAGCAGTCCAGGTTCGCGCGGACGTTAACTTCGACGCTTTCAGGCCCCGCTCGTTTTCCTCCGTTCCTCAACCAGCTTCGCTGGTGTCTGCGCCTACTGTGAAGCAGCATGACTTCCTAGTTATCGGCAGCGGCATTGCCGGTCTTACGTACGCGCTCAAGGTTGCCGAGTATGGTTCTGTGGCCATTATTACCAAAGATCAAGCCAGTGAGGGCTGCACTCGCTACGCCCAGGGTGGCGTTTGCGCGGTGTTGGATGAGACCGATAGCGTCGCCGATCATGTCCGTGATACTATCGTCGCTGGCGCCTTCCTAAATGATACAAAGTAAGTATTTGCTATCCTCTTCATATGGTCTGCTAAGACAATACTTGTGCTCAGTCGTTTGACATTCGGTTGCTTCATTGCAACACTTGACCCCTGTAGCTGAACACTGGCTTTTGCTATGTGCCGTTCCTGGCTTACTATATGCATACCTCTGCACCTACAGGGCAGTCGAGGTTGTTTGCCGTGAGGGTCCAGCGCGCGTGCTGGAGCTTGTGGAGCTTGGTGCCGAGTTCTCGCGCAACAGCGACGGTACCCTGCACCTCACCAAGGAGGGTGGCCACAGCAACCGTCGCATTGTACACGCAGCGGACCTCACGGGGGCAGAGATTGAGCGCGCCTTGCTGGCGAACGCCCGCGCCAACAAGAACATCCACTTCTACGAGCACCACATGGTGGTCGACTTGGTAGTGGACGAGTACGGTGGCACCCTGCACTGCTTCGGCGCTGACGTGCTGGACCAGCGGTCGAACACGATGACACGGTATGCAGGGTTATGAGTCTAGGGTTTACTACGCGTGGTCTTTTGCAGCCACTGCAGTTGGGTTAAGAGCTTCACAGTCTCACCTGTGAGGAATTCCATGGTTCGTACGAGGGGGACTAAATCCACCCCCTTGGCTACCATCATTATGACGTTTCTGGGCAGTTCCATATCACCACCGCTGCCCCTCTTTGCCATTGTGCCCTTCAGGTTCCTTGGGCTGTCGACCATGCTCGCCAGTGGAGGTGCGGGCCAGCTGTACCCTAACACGACCAACCCGCATGTGGCCACCGGCGACGGTATTGCAATGGCCTACCGCGCGCACGCCAACGTCAGCAACATGGAGTTCATGCAGTTCCATCCTACGGGTCTATACAACCCATCAGGCAGCGGCAGCGCCTTTCTGATCACCGAGGCTGTTCGCGGCGAGGGCGGTATGCTTTTCAACAAGGCTGGCGAGCGCTTCATGACGAGCTACGACGAACGGCTCGAGTTGGCACCCCGCGACGTTGTGGCACGATCTATCCACGACCAGCTCATGCGCCATGAAGACGAGCACGTTTGGCTGGACATCAGTCACAAGCCCCGTGGCGAGGTCCTGCACCATTTTCCCAACATCGCCGCCAAGTGCCAGGAGCTGGGCATCGACATCACCCGCGATCCCATTCCGGTGGTGCCGGTGCAGCATTACACGTGCGGCGGCGTTGCTACCGGTCTGCTGGGTGAGACCAGCGTCCAGGGCCTCTACGCCTGTGGTGAAGTGGCATGTTCGGGGCTGCACGGCGCTAACCGCTTGGCGTCGAACTCGCTGCTGGAGGGCCTGGTGTTTGCGGAGCGGGCCGTCAACCCCAGCGTTGCGCATGCTGAGCACGCACTTCGGCACTGCAGCCGACAGCTGCACTATGCGGCGGCGAGCGCGGACTTCCGGGGTGCGCGTGGATCGCGGGAACTGACAAGTGCATTGGGAGGCTGGGTGGCGACCCGCCGCCAGGAGCTGCGTGACATTATGTGGCGTTGCTGTGGCATTGTTCGGAGGTAAGCGTACGGACGACCGTCTCCCATTGTATTTTTGCTTAGGTTTGCTGGTATTCAAGTGTTCATAAATACCATACCAGTATGCACATGCAATGCATTGTGGATTTCCGTAGGTCATTAGCGCTTGCTCATTATTGGGGTTAGCTTTGAGCACATGCAATACAATAAAGCGGCACTAACCATTCCGTACTCCTTTGCTTTCGATCAGGACCAAGGAGCTGGTGGCTGCTCGCGACTACATCCTGTCGCTGTACATTGAGACCAAGGCCATCTACAAGAACTATGGCATCAACACGCAGCTGGTGGAGCTGTTCAACCTTGCAACGGTGGCGGAGCTGGTCGTGTCCTGCGCTTTGCAGCGGAAGGAGAGCCGAGGCTTGCACTACAGCGCGGACTACCCGCATTCGGACGAGTCGCAGCGCCGGCCGAGCATGATCAGCACGTCTCTGAAGTCCCGGTACGACCTGTCCCCCTTCCTACGCAACACGCCGTCCATGTCACCGGCGAGTGGTGGCGGTCCTGCAAGCGCTGCACAGCCAAAGCGCTTGGCACGCAAGCAAGCTCCTCGGGATCGTGAGTTAGCGGTGCGGTCCATGCCGCTGGACTCGTAAGCATAGGTTTGTCCCATGTGGCTTTGCTTCTTTGGAGAGATATTGTTTGCGGTTCATGCCGCAGAACTCGTAAGCATAGGTTCGTCCCAATGTGGCATTGGTTTCTTGGTGAAGTGTTTCATATGCGGCTAGCCGGCGTTAGGGGCAGCACGTTACCGTTGCAGGCGAAAATGCTAGGGCAGAATTGGCTGCTTAACATGTCATGTAACTTGTACTGCCTGTGTATACTAGACACAAAGGATGGCCACCTTCTGCGCTAGAGGGTTTGCGTTTTTGTCAACCTGCGTCAAGTTACTTGTTATGTAACACCTTGGCACGACGTCGTTGACGTCGTTGTCCCGTGAGCTGCCGTGCCCAACACCCCACGAAGATCGTTTACGTTGGGTCATAGTTATGCATACGTTTATTGCAACCATTCACATAGCTGTATGCAGTTGTATGAGTTCTGTGCACCAACGCAAGCTCGGTAGCTGTACAATGCAGTTGTATGAGTTCTGTGCACCAACGCAAGCTCGATAGCTGTACACGCATGCACCGCTGCATCCAGATTTGAGCAGATACACCGCGTTACATACCTCAGCTGCACAAGGGTAAACACGCAATATTAGGATACACATGAGTTGCATGTTAACTCAGCGCCCACCGAAGCATTAGGGCGATGGCAGAGGCCTCTTCAAGCGACAACCTTTCCTCACACAGCATGTTCCTAATTGCACTGGCAGCGGCACCCGCGTAAGTGTTCAGTATAATATGCCGAAGCCCAGTACAAAACCTTTCTAGCGCACCTTATCCTAACCTACACGGAAAACTGACACGAAGCAAACCATCCGCACTGCACCAGGAGTTTGCCGAGAGCTATTCTCACTGTAGTTAGCAGGCATGGCCTTCACCGCCATGCGCACTCTGCCGTCTAAACACATGACATTGGATGCAACAACCCCTCTCCATAATAAAATTGGAATGGTCCCACTGGCAACGTCTTGGGTCGAGGAAGGATCACGGTATTTGGTCAGAAATATACATGAGAAACGTTCAGTACCACAACCACTGTGCCTACAGGGGTGCTTCCCTTGAAACAGAAACAGCCGCCACCGCCAAGGCAGGCGACATGCAGGTACGTTTGCTTGTAGCTTATGTCTCAAGCCACCTCACGAATGCTAAAGCACTAAGGGCACTACCTACGCAACAATGCAGCGCCCTCATCCCTCACATGTAATGCCATGCATCCGCCATGCGCTGGCGCTTCACTTCAGGCTCAACGGGGCGCAGCACAGGCAAACTGCGCTTGCTGCGCCGCAGCGTCTTCTCAGGGTGTACCACCTTAAAAGCGCGCAACGCGGTCGGCTTCCACTTGGCCTTCTCGTCGCCAAGCCCTAGCTGCCCACTGTCACCACGGCCCCATACGTAGAGGACGCCGCGGTTTGTGATGGCAGCGGAGTGCTCGTCGCCGCACTGCACCGCCACCACGCCCGGCATCTGCACCACTGTGCGCGCGAAATAGTAGCGCTCCTTGCGGTCGCCCTGGCCGAGCTGGCCCCACGTGTTTGCTCCTGCAGAACAGCAACAGGAGCGGATAGGATTAGGATGGATACTCGTCACTAAGTGGAAGCGTGCGTCGCTCTCACACATGTCATCGTTAGGATTTTCCTGAATAGGCACGTGCCCGACGCACCCAAGGATACCCGACATACCTGTCGTGCGAACCTCCATGCGGCCGTTGTTAAGCACTAGGACCAAAGTGTGCGCGGCACCACACGAAACTTGAACCGCGCGCCGGCTCTTCCCATCTTCGGGGTCCTCGCCGTTGAGGTTGATGCGCGACGGCACCCAGCGGTCAACCTTGTCTCCAGTACCCAGGGCGCCTTGGTCGTTGCGGCCGAACGCGAGAAGCGTACCGCCCACTGTAAGTGCCATGGAGTGGTAAGCACCAGCGGCAATAGCGGTTACCCTGCGCAAACCACAAAGGAAATACAGTCAGCGCGCTGCAAAGGACGATGTGGTCAAATGAGCGACGGCAACGCTCCTGCAAGTGAGAGTCCTCGCATACATCAGCCCCACAAGTGCACGCTTACGTGCATAGCTCACCTGGCGTCGGGAGATAAGGGCGCCGGGTCCAGCTCAGCAATCTTGCGAGGCTTGAGCACGGTCGTAGCTGCCGGCGGAATATGCTTGTGCCCTAGCTGGCCATAGCTACCGTCGCCCCACGTGAACAGTGAGCCGTCAGCAGCTAGGGCCATCGAGTGCGCCACGCCAGCGCTGGCGGAAACTATGCGCACTCCCCTGAAGACACGAAGACGGCACACAAGGAAGGTATTATCAGTATGTATGAGAGAAGAGCAACATTAAAAAGGGAACATGAAGTTGCTAATAGCTAGGATAGTGAACATACCCAATCCGCAAGGGAGAGCCCATATATCCGCTAATAACACAGTAGGGAGAAAACCTACTCGAGCGAGGGAATGCGGGTGAGGCGCGGGTTGTCCACCAGGTGCTCCTGTTGCTCCCCGAGACCAAGCTGGCCGCTCCTTCCGCGTCCGCAGCTCCACAGAGCCCCGGTCTCGGCAATCGCAAGGGTGTGGTGGGCACCCGCGGCGATGGAAACAATTCGCGTCTGCACAAAGCACTGACGTGGCATTGCCACCTCGAGGGGGGACCACTGCCCGAGGCCAAGCTCGCCGTTGCTACCCAGGCCCCACATGAAGAGCTCCCCACGACGGCTGATTGAGGCTGTGTGGCTGCTGCCGCATGCGACAACGGCCGGCATGGTCTCCTCCTCCATGTCCGGATTGTCCTGCAAAGGAAGACGATGTATGATATTAATCATCAGGGCAAACGGCACAAACCCTGTAAGTGATCAGCATGTAGATGGCCTTACCGAGCAAGCCCGGAAGCCAAGCGATGCCAGCCTTGGTACTGAGCTGTTCTCGTGGCTACCGACACCGAGTTGTCCATGGAAACCTGCAGGTGCCAAAGCGGCTTTGTAATGTGCGACACACGAAGATAGCAAGCTAAAAGCAGGACACCAGGCACACCACGTGCATCACCTACCTCGACCGAACGTATATAACGAATGCTTGCAGTCCCGGCTTGCGCTCGCGCGAGGGTCATCGGCAACCTCTGCCGGAACCAGCAATGCTGCGGTATGGTACGCACCGCACGACACGGCCGTTGCCTGCAACAACAGTACGGACAGAGCTAAGATACATGATAGGATTGTCATACCTAAGCACGGTAACATACCTGGGCAGCAGCGACGCTCTGGCTGTTGACGAAATGGAGGAGTGAAAGAGTACGCTCGCCCTCCCTGAAGGCAAAGAGGGTCAGCGGTTAACAGTGGTGGTGGCAAACCGGGTTTATAAAGCTGCAACACCCTTACTTGCGGCTGGGCTTCAGGCCCCGGGCTCTGGGAACAGACTTGAGGCGCTGCTTGACGATTCGGTCGATAAAGCTGGAGTGGCGGAAGTAGGTACAGGTTGTTTCGAGCATCCCCAGCTGGTGCGTGGTGCACAGGCTTAGGATGTTGTCGATGAGCTGCAAGCAAGGAGTAAATAATTGTTCGTCAGCAACTGTTAGCTCTTAAGAAACCAAAGCAAACAGCTGCTGGACGGTTCAGGGCCCAACAACCGAAGATTGCACAAGACGTCCAAGACGTACCTCGTCAGGAAGCAAGGACCACAGACCACACTGCAGGTTGGAGCCAGAGAAGCCTTCCAACTCGCCGACCGCAGCGGGCTCGAGGGTACTGCCCTGAGGTGCAAGCAGGAATTCCTGCACCGATGAAGGGGCCTGCTCGTGCTGCCAGTCTTGCGACGCAGCAGTCGGTTTGCTGCTTTCTATTCTCTTAGCAAAGCGCTGAGACCGCCGAAGGGGAGGGGCAGCGGTGCCCTGCTGTTGCTCAACGTGCTTGCTGTCCATGGCACCTGGGTCGTGGGTCGCAAAGGTAGGCGGACGGCGTCAGAGTCGGGCAACAAAACCAACCTGTCCATACTTCCAATCCATACAAGCCGAAAACCGCAACTAGAAATTTTGTTCGACGGCGAAGTGGGCCAGAAACATGGACAGCAACACAGGGGCAAGGATAAAAGGCCGTGGCAGCCTGCAACATACCTGCCGGGATACAGCTCCACCTTGAAGGTTACACACTTTATTGGAGTTTTGGCGTTCGCCGGAAAGTGGGATGCCACAATGCCTCTGGACTTCCTCACACGCCCTTCCAAGCGACAGAATTACAAGAACCTTTTACAACTTATGTGACTGTAAGAGACATATCGCTTCGTTGTAACGGAGCGCGTATTTAATGCTTTTGGGCTGGCTATGATGCCGTACATGCCTGACGCTACCTCTGCAAGCAGCTGTATCCATCCTAGCTGGGTCATCAACCTGCAGCATGTATACCGGCAGTACATCAATCTCCTCCTACCATTTCAACACGAGGTGGCTCTTTTGCACTGTTGCTTGCAACCCCATTCCTTCGGTAGTGCTTTTGCGAAGGCTAAGGGCCCATCCTTGATGGGTATTCTCAATTATTGAGCTTGCTGAACAGTGTTCTTGTATTCAGCCGTCGCGAACTTTTGCTAGGGACTATCGGGGCAGGGATAGCGACATGAAGTGCTCGCCATAGGCATAACCAACACTGGTCGGGATCACCCCGCGCATACATGGATGTATCGTAAATCTCTATCGGGAGGTTGACAATGATGGCATCTCGGGGACTTCTGGCTTGCATTTGGGCTTCGTTGCTGGTTTGGACGAAATGCTGCCATGCAACAACGGCGCGGGAGAACCTTGTCATGTACATCTTCGCACCAACAGACCCAGAGTTCATCCATAACCTTGAGTTCTTCGTGCGGGAAGCCGTACTGGGCGATACCCGCAGCGACTACGTAATCGTGGTGCAGGAATCGACAGACATGCACGTGGGTTCAAGGTTTGCGGGTTGGGGGCACGCTTCCCAGAGCTAGGCGGTTTCCCTTGCGCGCTGTGTTCCACACAGTTGGTGTACAACGGCCGCCATGCCATGCAAAGCATTAATGTGCAATTCGTGCTACTGCGCTGGGCCCAACGGCCGCCATGCCATGCAAAGCATTAATGTGCAATTCGTGCTACTGCGCTGCACGTGGCCCACGCATGTGCACGCATGTCGCCATTACCATATGCCCGGCGATGCCATCTATACCATTCTGCTCGCAAGGCTGGCTAATGCCCATAACTACGCATAACACATCCCCCAACACAGAATGTTGAGTTGCCCAGGCTGCCAAGCCATGCACGCTATGTATGGCACACCAATCGCTGCTATGATTGGGGCTCCTACGGTTGGCTTTTGTTCACCGGCCGCGTCGACCCTACACGTTATCGCTTCTTTTTCTTCGTCAACTGCAGTGTCAGGGGCCCATTTCTGCCTCCTTACGCGAGGGTGAGCTGCCACGTCCGCGAGCGGTTACATCATTGCTTGCTTATCCGGATGCATGCGGCTAGGGATTGTTCACCAACAAGTGCCTTCTCTTGTCATGCGCACCACCACCCACCTGCTGCGTAATTCAGTGAACCGGTACACGTGTCTCCTCAGGGCCGCGTGCATTGGACGGAACCCTTTACGTCTCGCCTTGTTGGGGACGTAAAGCTTGTGGGCTCCACAATTAGCTGTGAAGGAAGTCCTCTTAATGGGGACTTCCGTGGTAAATGGCGCCATAACCCGCATGTGCAGTCCTACGTTGTGGCGACTGACCAGGTGAGCCCGCTGTGTCACACCTGAGCAAGCCTTCAGTAGCCCCTGTGCGTGCCAAGGCCACGAAAGGAGCATGGAATGAGGCTTGGGGTCTACGGGTTTGCAGGCCACGCAACAGCACATTTGCTCTTAATGCTGAGGTTACCACAGCATCGCAGCATCGGAGCGGGCAATGCAATCCAGCCTCCCTACCCTCTCACCTTACTTCCGCCCTGCCCTGTCTCTGCCCTGTTTTGCCCCTGCCCTGCGCACGCAGGTTGGATTGCAGGTCCTCCTGGACGATGGCCGCGTCTTCCATTGTCATAACACCCGATGGAACACCATCTACTACAGCGAGCTGGGCAGCTCCACAGCCATCCTCCGCGCGGGCTTCAACCTGGACTGCCTCATGACGAAGTACCAGGGGCTGGACTGGCGCGACAAAGCGAACTGGGATTGTAATGCAAGGTATGCCGAGGGGCAGCACAATGCGAATGCTGTAGATATGATTGCGCATGGCCTGCATAATGTTATCCACTGTTTGGGACTGACAAGGCATGGACAAGACATTGAGTCTACACCGCTTGGGGGCATTCTCCCGCCGCCCTGTGCACCTCCAGGTATAGCCCTCAGTCCGAGCTCACATACGACGGCATCTCGTTGGACCCGCTCGAGGTGATGTTCGTGAAGGTCAAGCAGCTGCTGCTGCAGCGCAATGTGACGTACGCACTCAAGGCCGCTCGCTACGACACCTGGCAGGTGAGCCCAGGCATGGTAGGGACCGAAGGGTACTTGAACGAGGATAATGCACTGGCCGTGACTCCGTAAGTACAGGAAGGCTGGAAGATGATGGCTCTTCGCGGGAATTGTCCACCTTAGGAGTGTTTGGGACACTATTTATTTGATATACGCAAACATACTGGTACCTTCTCATGTTGCCAACAGCCACGCACGGTTAGACAGCTAGTTCCGGTGTCTTCCTTGCCTGGCTTGAGCCCCCTTCTTCCCGATCTGTGCTGCCCACGATGTGCTTCTGGCATACAGGAGCATGGCCCGTCGGACCCGTCAGCCCTGCTGGCAAACGCGTATGCCGAGGACGAGTTTTCCTTCAAGGCGCCGCGTATATTGACAGCGAAGGCGCGGGGCCCTGGGTGTTTTGACACAGCTTTCTACCGTGCCCACAATCCTGATCAGGCGGGGATCAAGACCGATGCTGAACTTTGGAAGCACTACACCTTCTTCGGTCAATTCGAACGTAGACCTCACAGGTAAGGAAGGCGGCGATGGGAATCCAGTTAACTCTTGTAGGTCCATGGGGTACCATGCAGCTCATGTCCAGGATATGAGGGGCATATAGGGATTATTCATCCCAAGAGCCTTAAAGTACAGGGATGGGTCGCAGAGACTCAGGTGACAGTGTCCGCAAGAGGGTGGGCAGTTGTCTTCGTGAAAGCCGGGCACATGCGGCACATACACAAGGAATGCCCAAGCCTCCTCAGCCCCAGCAAAGCATGTTGCACACACACATAACAAATGTATAGTTTTGCATGCTAATCCATGCCGGACCATGCCCAGTCCAAGCGGGTTCATCCAACCGTTCGGAACCGCCAGGGCAGTTTCGCACCTTCATAAGCTACGATGCCCTAAATTACGCAAAGTATCCTCCCTTGTATGCAGGTTTACTTGTGCACTGAACTATACAAAGTACTTCAAGTCCTGAGCTCGAGCTAAGCTGTACAACTTTCGTCCACACTTGGCGTGGAACTCGTCATCCACGGATGGCGTGGAAGACCCCCGAAATCGTCCGGCTGGCTCGTTTCCTTCACTAAGAAGCTATAGAATTGTATATCTTTTGAAACTAAAGGCATTTGCGGTGTCGAGCACCCTTACCGGTGTAATCGTTACTCATAACTTTATCGATGCTTCATGCTTAAACAGGGCTATGGCAACGCTGGCTGTATACAAAGTTTCTATGTGAAAAGCAATCTTCAACATTTTCAGCCAAGTGCGGTGTTGTGCCCTGCAAGCATGATTCATGACACGCCCCACGAGAGAAGCCGGCGGGCAAGGCCTGCATCGGCAAGTCGATCTTTGGACAGTTATATGATTTATGAAAATCCGGAGGAGATCGATGCAAAGTTGCGGCAAAGAAATGACAAGGATTTTAAGCGAGCAGCCAACGATTGCCTGTCCGGTCCGGTCTCTGCTTCCTACAAGACTGCTACGGCAGGGATTCCGGGATTAGCCGGGATAGCAGCTGGAAAGTCTTGCGGAACGACGTTATGGGTTAACTCCACTGCCGCGAAGGACGTCCAGCGCTGGGAGGGGGCGGCAGCGGCGGACCTTTTGCTCTGCCGGATGCCAGCGGAGGTGGAGGCGGCTGTGGTAGCGGCGGCCTTGTTGCACCGCCGGGTGCCTACAGCGGCAGCGGCAGTGGCAGCCCTTCTCTCCTGCCGGATGTCAGCAGCAGCGGCAGCCCTTATGCTCCGCGGGGTGTCAAGCGGCGGAGGCGGCCCTGTTTCACCGTTAGGAGTCAGCGGAGGCGGCGACAGCGACAGTGGCGGCTCTGTTGCCCGCTGAGCGTCAGCGGAGGCGGCGACCCTTTTGCTCTGCCGGATGTCAGCGGAGGAGGAGGCGCTGGCGGCAGCAGCGGCCCTGTTGCACCGCCGGGATGTCAAAGAATCGGGCGGCGATGGAGGCGGCAGTGGCGGCCCTGTTGCACCTTTCGGCGGCGGTGGCAGCGGTGGCCCTTTACTCCGCTGGGTGTCAGCGGAGGCGGCAGCGGCAGTGGCGGCTGTCTTGCACCCCTGATTGTCAGCGTGCCCTCCTCGAAAGCCCTCCCCACCATGACCCAACGCACCATCCTAGAGACATTGACACGACATCCTTAGCCGCTCACCCCCGCTCAAACCATGCAAACGCCCGCTCGCCTCAAAACCCCAGACCCCTGAAGCCACCCAACACGCCGAACGTATGCGACATTCCTTTAACCTTAGGCCGTCGCACAGTGAAACGACTGCGCGCTGGCGCCAACAAGGCGGGTGCCTGGGCTCCTTCTTTTGCAGCCATTACCCCTTCCACCTACTACCGTACGGTAAAGCTCCGTGAAATGTACCCCTCCAAGATTTCGATGACAATGATCCCCCATACCACCTACCTGCACCGCCAAGGTATTTGGGACGGTCAGTTGGAAGGGGTATGAGAGGCTGTTTCTGGATTTGCAAAGGATCCTGCTCTCCACATGGACGAAGAGGTACAGGTGTGATGTTCTTACCTGTGACTTGCACGTGAGCAAACCCACAAAGCGTACCAATATGTCCCCAATGATGAGGGCGAGTGCTGGGCAAGAGCTGGGGCCCATGCGCGTGCATGTGAGCATGCCGCTGGGGCGGATGTTCGTTTCAGAAGGAGCACCGCCTAGGGATCCTATGTAAACCCACACACTAGCCGCCCGTTCATGCCGACCCGAGTGCGGCTGGCCCTAAAAGCATGCCAATAGGTCCCCAATAGTGAGGCCTAGGGCTGGGCAAGAGCTGGGGCCCATGCGCGTGCATGTTGAGCATGCCGCTGGGGCGGATGTTCGTTTCAGAAGTTTACAATGTCAACAACCACGGTCAACCAACATCTGCGTCGTCCCGACTGGCGGCCAACTCAATGAACAAATGCAAAGCAATTGACGAGTGGCGACTATTCCATGGCAAAAATATGACTCCAATGCGGTAAGTCTAACGGGGTGGGTGCCGGCCGTGCCACGTTTTCGCAACAATGCACATCGTCCTGGATCCGCAATACCGTGAGGCGTCAATTGCTAAGAGGTCGTCTAGGTCACGCGACTTAGACAAAAGCAACTGTGCGCGCTGCAGCTCCTGTAACCGCCAGCTTCCCCTGTAACAACTCCAGCCCCCCTGCGGCTTTGGCGTGGGGCTGCGACAAATGCTGCAACGCCGACGCGATTGTGGTTGCTGATGCGTCGGCCAACCATGTTGGCTGCCTTGAACTCTGCACAGGATGATGGCTCCAGCTCGCTTGGAGGCAGCTTGCCGTGCTCCTCTAGTCGCTTCCGTACGGCATGCTGGGGGGTGAGGAGCGCCGTCGACAGCCGTCGAAGCCAAAGGGGATAGAGGGAACTGGCTGCTGTGTTCCTAAACCGCCGCAGGGGCATCCAGCCCACGAGCAGCCCTGCTGAGGTACAGCAGAGCCTGCTGCCGCGCAAACGTGCCCCAGAACAGCAGGCGATGTTGGCAGGCCAGCTGCGCCATGCGTGTGCGCCAGCGTCTCGCCCCAAGCTGCTCCAGAGTATGGCGCCGCCATGCGCATCCTGTTGGTCAAGCGTATGAGCTCCAAAGCAAACAAAGCGCATGGGAGGTACGGGGTGATGGGAAAGCAGCCAACCTCCATGGGATGGACACAGCGCTGCAGCGGTCAGCAGCGGCAGCCGAAATGGGGTCAGTTGACCATGATGCTGCCGGAGATTAGCGTCTCGGGCAGAACGCGCATGGCCGCGGCCAGCTGTCCGATGGTTAGGAGGTGGTGGGGTGAGCGGATGTCATGGAATGGGGTGAGCGGATGTCATGGAATGGGAGGAGCGGCATCTCATGGTGGGGATATCATGGACTGCCAAGCCCTTCCGCAGCCGCACCGGAGTGGAGCTCGTAAAGCGTGGGGCGTGGGACTGGTACGTGCGTGGTAGGTGTTGGTCGAGAAGCATAGTAAGAGCTGTGGGGGCATTGGTGCACTGAGCCCGGGTTGCTGCGTTGGAGAAGATGTCCAGGCGGGTGAAGCGGTTTAGTCCCTTTCTGTATATGCCAGAAGTAAACACCTATGTAACCGCGCTGCTAACAGAGCGTTACGGCCTCAATTGCGAGGTTGCCCATGGAGTAAATACACTTTGGGGCCCATAAATTAGGAAGGAAAGGATTGGCTATCATGTCCTGTCCGCCGTGTTTGCGGTACGTAACATCCTCAGCTTCAGCGGTCGCGATTCCGTGCCACATAGCTAAGCCAAGCGATCTCGCTCCAACCAAAGGCATGCAAGCAAGCCTACATAAGTCTATATGCAGGTTCAATTATAGGTTAGGAATCCCTATGGCGCTGTGGACCGCAATGCAAAAGTGAAAAGGGAAATTTCGCGACGTTAGTCTCAGCTTTGCCTTTTGGGTCAAGCATGACAACAGCATTAAAGCGATTAAAGATGTTAAGGCGATTGTAAACATTGCGTTTTGTCAGGTAAGCTAAACTTACACGGCAAGTGAAGTTCAAGGCTTGCCTCGGCAGCTGTGGAAATGCGAATTCCACGGTTGTCGTGGAAGCAAGAATTCCACGCTCTTCGTGGAAGTCACATTTCCACGGATGATGTGGAAGAACACTTTCCACGCCTTTCGTGGATGACGAGTTCCACGCCAAGTGTGGACGACATTTGACCGGCCTAGGTGTGAGCTCTCTCCAAGGTTCCGGAGCGTGTGGAGCGTCACGAGTACGCCTGAGCCTCCGACCGAGATACAGAAACAGAGAGTTGCCGAGTGGCCTTTGGAATCAATTTTATGCTGAAAATTAGCAGTTATCTAAGATGCAGCACGACGACGTTTGCCTCGTCTGTGCCGATCCACTAGAGTTTACAGCGTTTGGCTCTTGTGGGCACAAGGAAGTCTGCTCAAGATGTGTAGCACGCATGCGTTTTGTGCTGAAGGACAAGGGGTGCGTTTTCTGCCGTCAAGAGAATGCTCAGGTCTACTTCACTCGTTTCATGGGAGATTTCACCGCACGGCTGGCACCGGAGGACTTCGACGGCTTGCAGGTCAGTCTTATTAATGCTCTTACAGCTTCGGCTTTGTACCTAAGCTAGTCAGGCGTCAAGCTCTGAAACTGGCCGCCGCAGGCTCGGGCCAACCGGCGTGAGCTCTTCGCAATGCCCGAAATCAATGGCTTCTTCGACGATGAAAAGCATTACCAAGAGATAAGGTGCGGCTATTGCCGGCTGCAGCTGGGCGGTTTGGCAAGGGTGCTGGGTTAACATAAGCAGGATGTTTCTGCTCGCAGCGCGCTTTGCGGCTTTACTCACCCTGTCTTGGAAGCCGGCAGTGGCAAGGGAGCTCCGAAGTTTAACAACTTTAAGGCGATGAAGCGCCATATAGAGACGACGTTAAACCAGTTCTTCTGCGACGTCTGCGTTACGGGGAGGAAGGTGCGTGGTAAGGGGTCGCGCTGCATAGAAGGTGGTATGGGGTGTATGCATGGCGACTCATTATCAGCGGCGTATGGTAACGTGTTTGCGAGGGGCTGTTGCAACCAAGTATGGGCGTGTGCTTGCCCGTCGTAACGAAACTCAGGCCCTGGGTTTAACACCACGATTATTGCACGGTGTCAAAGTGATGACATGGTGCACCTCACGAGGTTCTGCGATAACGCCTGCTGTACGATGGCTTAAGCCGTTGACCCTTGCCTGTGACTGCCAGGTCTTCGTGAGCGAGCAGCTGCTGTACACCAGGGATGGGCTGCGACGGCACCAGGATGCGGGAGACGAGTCCGGCCCGCTTGCTGAGAGCGGCTTCAAAGGCCACCCGCCGTGCAAGTTCTGCCGCACACGCTTCTATGACTCGAATGAGCTGTACCGCCACATGGAGGGCAGCCACGAGCACTGCTTCCTGTGCAGGCGGAACGCCCCGGACAAGTACGTTTACTACCGCCACTACAAGGTAGGTATGGTGTGGGAGTAAGGCTGTGACGGCTAGGCAAACCCGCTTGCCGGTGGTTTGGAGAGTGTGGATAACGACTTATGAGGATGCCTGCAGGAAAGTCGTGACATTAGCGCAGTGTCCCCTTCGTGTACCACGTCATGTGTTAACGCTTGTGGTCATCCTGCTCCCCTCCGCATGGACAACACCTATGTGGCGCACACTGTATTTCCCAGGAGCTGGAAGGTGAGCCGGGATAGGAGGTCACCTTGCTTAGGGCAGCGCGTGGGATACCCAAGCAGCTCACATCTAGTTAGCGTCCCATGCAGACCAAGCCAAGTTGCGCTTCAGACATCAAGCTCGTGTGTTCTGTTGATGTTAATTTGCGCCGTGTTCATGCCGACTTCCTCGTAGATCACTTCACCAAGGATCACTTCCCGTGCCCGCACCCGGAATGCTTGGAGAGGAAGTTCGTGGTGTTCAGCACGGACTACGAGCTGAAGGCCCACTTCGCCGCCGAGCACGGCGACCAGCTGAAGATGTCGGCTGCGCAACGCCGGCAGGCGTTAACCATTCCCATGCAGCTGCAGTACCGGTCCAGAGATGACGAGGAGACGGAGCCGGGGCCGAGTGCGCGGTTCGAGCGGGCGGGTGAGCATGGGTGCATGTGTCAAGCGGGGCTTGCGAGCTGGCGGTGCCCTGACAGCATGCGGGTTGCATGTTGCTGAAGCTCCCGTATGGTCAGTGTTCAGCACGTAAAACGATGAGGGACAACCCCAGACAACCAAAATATAACAAGGTTCTCCCTCCATGTTGTCCTCAGCTGTCGTCATAGGCGGCGGGCACAACATTAGTAGCCGGGCGGCGCGCAGCGGGCGGGCGGGCGGCAGGGGCGGAATGCACCATAGCCGCTCGGAGCCGCAGTTTGCGCCATCGCTGGGCCAGGACGCGGGCGGCGAGGTATGGACGGGGAGGAAGGGCTGAAGGGTATGCATTACAATCCGCCTTTTGCCTTACGATGCCGTAGCCGGCTCCAAAGATTGGTTGGGTCGCCCACTTAGTTGCAAAGTATGAGGCTTACTCCTAGTCTCAGCGCTCGATCCCAACGTCCGGCTCTCCTGTACCTCAACGCCCAGGTGAGCAGCGTCACCTTCACAGCGGAGGACTTCCCGGCGCCGTCGAGCGCTCAGCAGGGCGGCGCTGGGCCCCTGGGGCGGTGGGCTGCCTTCGCGGGTGCGCAGGGCAGCACAGGGAACCTGTCAGACCAGGATTTCCCAGCCCTGCCGACGTTGTCGAAGAACCAGCGCCGGCGCATTAAGGAGCAGCAGCGCTCGCTCGCGGATCGCCTCGCAGCCGCAGCGCAGCCCCCGCGTGTGCTCAACCGGGCAGCAGCAGGTCCTTCGGGTGCCAGCGGGTCCGGGGGAGCGGGGCCATCAACTTCGGGGACAGCAGACAGCAGCCAAGCTGTCCCAGGGCTGGCGGATTTCCCCTCCCTCAGCGCGGCTGCACCTGCAGCCTCTTCCATGCCATCAACGTCGGCACCGGCGCCTGCTGCTGTGAGCAGGGCCCCTGCTTTTGTTGCCAGCAGCTCCTCCGCCCGCGCCACCGAAGTGTTGGCACCCGCGTCTTCCAGCCGACGGCCGCCGGGGTTCGGAAAGGAGGAATTCCCAGCGCTAGGTGGCGGTGGGAAGTCGCGCCCGCCTCCGCCTCCGCAATCCCCGTCCCCAGCCGCATCGCCCTACGCTGGCGTGACGACGGGGCAGCAGCCGGCACCTGTAGGGCCCCTATCGCAAGCCGACGTCCTCCAGAGCCTGTTTATGAGGCCGGGCTCTGCAGCTGTGACATTGGCACCTGCGGCCGCCTCAACATCTGGGTCGGGGGCAGCAGCCAGGCCAGAGTCGCCGCTGGATTTGAAGGCCGACGACTTCCCCTCGTTGCCCGGAGGTAGCCGGCCTGCTGGGAGGGCACGGGCAGCAGCGCTCAAGACGCAGGTGGCTAAGGGGCAAGCGGCGAAGCCCTCTCCAGAGAAGCCAGCTGCTGCGGGGGGCGCTACGGGCGGCGGCGGTGGAGGGGTGTCAGAGAGCCTCAAGGCTGCCAACAAGGCTCTCATAGAGCGCATCAAGCGGCAGCTCAGCGGCGCCGCTTTTGACACCTTCCGGCAGCAGAGCCAGAAGTTCATGCGCGGGGAGCTCTCGGCAGACGAATATCACGACTACATGGTGGGTTGGGTTTAGGCGCTTTCATGGGTTGCCTTTGGGGTTCTATCCGTTGCGTGAGTGTTTAGGGGGCTATGCTCGAAGCGGGCGGGAGAGCCCGTTTATGCTCATACTGCCGTGTGCGCCGCTGCACATGATTTACTTTTCGTTTGCGTTGGTTCCATCTGCGTCCTACGGCTTGGCGGCCTAATCCACCTCTTCACGCGTCGTTTGCCCCTTACCTATCTCGTCCAGGTGAGCTTGGGGCTGTTGTCCCTAGTCGCGGAGCTCGTGTCGCTATGCCCGGACGCGGCCAAGCGGCGCCTGCTGCTTGACGTGCATCGCGGCTTTATAGCCTCACCAGCAGCTCAGGACCCGGGGCTGGTCGGCGCCGGTTGGATGCCGCCCGAGGCCGCAGTGGCTAAGGCCGACCGGGTAGCGGAGCACTCGTCCTGGAGCTGTGCCCGCTGCAGCTTGTGCAATGCACCCGACGACGCGCGCTGCGAGTCCTGTAAAGGGCCGCGGCCAACCGAAAAGGAGCAGCAAGCGGCAGCTAGGCCCCTAGCTTCTGCACCGGAGCCCGTGCCGCTGTCTATGGGGTTCTTCTTCGGCCAGCCAGCCCCCATGCCGCAGGTGGCGAGCACCAGCGGCCAAGCCCGTGCTTCAAACCACGCACCCCCGCCACCACCAGCTGCAGATGATTTCCCTGCACTGGGTGGTGGTGGGCGAGCAGCCTCCATGGCGGTTGCGCAGGGGCCTAGCAATCTTTCGCGCGCAGACAGCTTCGAGGTCAGCGACCCCGACCCGCCCTTGTCTGCTGGCAGTGGTGGCAAGGGCAAGAAGGGGAAGGGTACGACCATTAAGATTGGCCTGCCTGCTTCCGGTGGCAGTGGTAGCTCGCGACCGCACCCGCAGAACGCCTGGACGCAGCCTCAGCGGAAGGCCAACGTTGCCAGCTCATGGGCTGGCCAGGGGGGAAACAAGCTTGCAAAGATGCACGGGGCAATCAATGACGCTTGGGACTAGCTTGACTGTGCAGCTGTGGCTGTGTTGCCCGTACAACTTCGTAAACGCGAACAGGAGCGCCGCAAGCGCGCAAAAGGGTTGACGTCTTGGCGTCATGTGTATCACGCGGGGTGGTCAGAAGTTCTTGGCGTGCCTCTTAAGCCCGCTGTGGCCCCGCCGCACATTTATATCTCGAGCTACGTGACCAGATACAGATGCTGGTTCGTATTCGTCCGGCTTGTGTGCCTGTTAGCAAGGACAATGGCTTGGATACCATGTAAGAGTATGGATAACTTAACGCTGCCGTCACTGGGTCGTATGGCTTCTTGGAGCAATTGTGTCGGGGGATGGAGTACAGCTATATTCACACGAGACGTGTCTCTCCACTTCACCCCACCGTGGTAAAGTGTTCCTGCCGCCAACTCCAAATCTCCTAACTGACCCCCCGGGCTGGGCGGGTCGGGCTGGCTCACATGTTGCAAACCATGATGATGCCTTATCACACGGTCAGTTAGATGTTTCCTCTTTACCCCCCAAACCGTCAGAAGCTAAATAGTCAGATCAGGACTCGTAACTCTTATGCAGTTCTACTAACCTATTTCACTGCGCCATCAGCATGCTAGCGGTTCTAGTGTGGGACAACTGGACGGGGATGTCTTACTTGGCAGTGCCAGCTTTATCTAGCTGTTGCCGTACGCCGTTGATTACGTCTGCTAGAATTCCGGCAAGTCGCGAGCGTTTGTGAAATGAAGCACAAACAGTGAACCTACTTACAACGCGTTTGTCATGTCATACGCCAAGCAACGAGTAGAGGCACATGGAGACTAGAATTGGCAGTTTTGCTCCTCAGGGACATATGTGCAGAGCGTAACTTATCCTTGACTGTTATCACATGGGAAACGGCGCAAGTTTACACGAGCAGCCGGGGCCAAATACCTGGTGGATTCGATATTGCCGTCAGAAATGGAGGAGCCTGCGGACACGGCAGCTGGATGAGTTCCTTGGTACGTCTTTCTACTAGAAGGAAACAAGGGATTTTTAAATCAGGGCGAACAACAGTTCGCCGGTTCTTTTGCCCTTCGTTCCTGTTTCCGTTGGGGTCACCGGAGGACGCCATGCCCGTAACGGCATACCCGAAAGTATCTTGATTTACTGCATTAGAATGACCGAGAGATGAGTCGCCTAATGTTCCTGCTTCTGCTCTGTCACTATTGGGGCGACTCTTGATAACGCAAAACTTATGGGCTATTCGGATTATGGGATAAACATGAAGCAGTGTGTTTCTATATGCCTGGTAATAGCTAGCGATGAGGTGCGCCCTGACTTGCCTTCTAGGTTCTAGCCATGTGATGGTTGCCAGATAGACAACAAAGTAGGACACCTTGCAGCCCTTCCTTTATCCCTTCCTGACTGGGCATGCAGAGTAGCTCCCCTCTGCTCAATTCATGTGGTGGTGGTCCTTGGCAGTAAGTCAAGTGTCGTGTCCCGTGGGTTCTTACTTTGATTGTCCTCAGGTTTGCAGCGCCCACCGCTTAGGCGCGGGCAGTCCTTTTCCAACCTCGATGAGCTGGTTAAGAAGATCACACAGGTATGTAGCCAGCGTATGCTCGAAACGTTTCAGGATGACCTTGCACTGGGGCTTACACCGTGCACCAGGGTAGCTGTGCTGGTCAAAACATGGCCTTCTCACATTTTGTGTCCTACTACGGTATCAGCCCGCCGTACCCCCTCGGAAACCCCGCTACAGGAGCCGGTTCCGTTTATAGGCGAGGCGGATGACACCGATGATCTCAAGTCTGCCATTGCCAAGCTTAACAATGGCTCCATTCTACATACGGAAAAGCGTGCAATCGAGCGTTTGCTGGCGCAGCGCTACGAGGAGGCCCTTGCAGCAGCCGCAAACCAGGAGGAGGCGGAGACACTGGGTGGGGCGTCAGAGGTGCTCCGCCAGGTGAGCTGCTGGTGGGGTGCTGCCCATAGGGGGTTCGAACATGCGTAGGTGGATAAGCTAACGCCAAGCGCTGACAGTCTACCTAAACCTGTACGATTATGGCCACACGGGTTGCTTGCTGGCAGTTAAGCCACGGGCTGCGCGTTTCCAGCTCTACGCATGTACCCTGCCCAGACCACCAGAAGGCCTTGGTAGAGTGTACGGGCCCGCAGCCTTCATGTTACATCATGCCATTCACGTTTTCCCACTACCCTCCCCTTTGTCGCCATGCCTCCCCCATGCCATACGGTAGGTGTTGGTGGTCTTCCATCAAAACAACTTGCCAACGGAGCTAGACCGCATCGCTGCTGACGAGCAGCCTGCCGAGTGGCGCAAGCGCTGCCACGTGGCGCGGCGGAGGGCCTTCCTGGTGGTGCGCTCCCTGGTGCGGCTCAAGCGGGAGGTGAAGCGGCTGGCGGCACCCATCGGCGACCTGGGCTGGCTGCTTCCGGTGGCCGCCAAGGACCGCTGGGGCGAGCTCAAGGCGCTGGCGGCCAGATACCGCCAGCTGGAGACAGAGCTACAGGACGCGGAGGTGAGGATGGGCGGCATGCTGGCGTGCCGCAGAGCCACAGAGGGACTCCCGCGGCCAGGAAAATTGCTGGGGAAAGCCGCTGGGGCTGCAGACTTTCTGCCGATGAAGTGTTTCCAACTATACCAACCTGCACTTGCCTGGCCGGGAACCTACTGTCGCAGGTGGCGGTTGCCCAGCTCACACAGCTGAAGGAGATGCAGGCCAAGGTGCTCCCCTCTCCAAGGAGTCCCGCAGGCGGGCGCATATCCCCGCAGCGCACCCTGCGCAGCGCCGCGGGCCGCATGAATGGAATGGGCACATCAGGCCGAGCAGTCAGCGAATCAGGCGCATTGAATTCTCGGGCCAGGCCGCGTGCTGCGCTGACAGCGGATCCGCCCCCGCCGCCTGTGCCGGGTGGACGTGTTGTCCGCCGTGAGGGCCCCTCGGCCACAAGCTCAGGGATGGTGCCCAGCAGTCCGCCCATCCTGGCTGGCTGTGCAGCCGGGGTATCGCCGTTGCGGACGCCCATGCAGGGCAGGAAGGGTGGCGCAGGGGGATCAGATGCCGTCGTTGGCGCTGGCGGGATCCCGTCGCCGGCCGCGTTGGTTCCAACGTTGTCCATGCTGCGCGCCCCGGCGGCGACGCCCAGCCCGCTCAATGGGCGTCGTCTGTCAGCTACTGGAGGCTCGTCGTTTATTGGTGGACCAGGGTCTTCAATGACACCGCGTAGCGGAGCTGCTTCGGCCACGGCGCCATCTACGCCGCTTGTTGGCGGATCACTTGTAGCGCAGACACATGTGGGTGTCGGTATCCTCACGGGCATCTCGTCACCGCCGCTGTGTACACCGTCAGTTGGGACGCCGAGGGGCGGGCACCGAGAACCCGTCATGATGCGGTCGCCTGTGCAGAGCAGCACCCAAATTGGTGAGCCTGCCGGCTGTCATGGTCCCTTGCGCGGATAGGAGGAGGTCGGGATAGTGGTCGACGAGTTCTGAGGCCTAAAGTACACATTACCCGAGTTGGCCCCCGCCTGTCTGTGCTGCAATAGGACCACGCATGCTGCTTTTCTTCCGGTTACCGGTAAGCGTGCACGGTCTCGTCGTGCTGAGGCATGGCTAAGGCGCTGACCACCCCACATCGTCCTCTGCCTGCAGTGCGCCAGACATTCATCACCGGCGACGGCTCCGGCGCTGCCACCTCGCTGCCCACCGTGCCGCCAGCCCTGGGGCGTGGACCCCAAGTCCTTGACCTTACTGCTGCTCCCAACCCATCTGCGCACCGCCACACGTGTCCGGGCGAACCCACCGACTTCTCAATCAACCCACACGGGACTGCTGTGGAGCTTTCGACGTCCCCTGCAGTGCCGGGGCCCCTACAACGCAGGGTTGCTGCTGATGCCACCTCGACCGGCTCTGGGCAGCGCGGCGCAGGGACGCGCAACTGGGGCGTTGATCCCGCGCCGCCCATGGCTCCCCCACCCACGGCCGGCACACGGCGGCCGCTGGGTGCGTTGGGTCACACCAGTGCCTCACCTCCGCTGGGAGTGCTGGGCTCCCCCCGGATGCCTGCAGGGGGCCCTCCTGCCAGGCATACGTCTGACGGAGCCTCCTCGAGACCCGCAGCTGCGCCGCCCGAGCTGCCAGTACTCATCCAAGAGGGCGAGACGCTCGAACAAGCGCTGGCGCGGTTTAGGTTGCTCGCAGATGACACACGTTGCGCGCTGGTGGACACTGCCCGGCAGTTCCGATGCGCGCTGGACCTGTGCAACAGCGCTTGGCCGGACCAGCGGTGGTGGCTGGCAGCCCACACCCAGGATGACGCGGCGTTGGACACGTGGCCAGGTGCGCTGGCGGCTCGGGCTGGGTTAGCGGGAAGGCACTGGAACCATGCATTGTATCAAGCAGCCTGCATGGATAGCTGAAGCGAGTCCGCCTGTTTTGATTGTTCAGCCAAGGCAAAGCACAACTTCGGGCCTCGGACTCGGCCGGATTCATAGAACGATGCGGGTACACAGCCGTTTCCAGTCCCTATGAGTTCCTGAGTGGCGCTGGGCCCCGTCCTTGTGCGCAGGTTCGGGTGAATACATCGTCAACCGGGCCGACATGGTGCGCTGCCTGAAGGCGGGCACTGTGGCGTTCCAGTTCATGTGCGCCTCCGATGAGGCGCTGGTGGGGCCCTCCGGCAACCGGTTCGACTGGTGGACCAGCGACCCCTGGGAGGTGGCAGCGGACCTGGCGCCGGACCTTGTGAGTATGGAGGCAAGGAGCATAGCACTGGGACGCTGGTTGGGAGCAAGGTGGCACACGTTGCGTGCATGTGACTCATGAAGGATCTGTTGCGGCATATTCTGCTGGCGTCATTTGCAAGCCTCCAATGTCATGTGCGTTTGATCCTGCAAGCGGTTTGGTTGCACAATTCAAGCGCTGCGGCATGGGGCGGCATGGTGCTATCCAAGGTGTTCGTTTGCATACCGACTGCCGTGACAGAATTCGCTTGCGGTTGCCTTCTACCTCTTGGCAGGTGGCGGAGGCCCAAGCTGCGCAGAGGCAGCAGCGGCCCGGGCCCGGGGAGGCGCCTCGCGAGCGTCTGGTGGGCGTGCCGCTGGGCGTGAGAGTGCTGGAGCAGCTGGCGAACAGTGTGGTGGAGACTGCAGGGCCGCTGGCGCTGGAGGCCTTGCCAGTCATCCTGCACATCAGCGAGCGGCAGCGAGAGGCCATGGCGGCAGATCTGCTACAGTACCCCATCTACAAGTAAGCAGGGCAGATGGCAGGTTGCGGCATGACAACTTACGGGAGCAGTCTCCCTCTCATTATAGTGTGTTGCGTGTTTCTGTTTTTTCATCTCATGTCTCGGTGCTGCAACTGCCGTTCCGATGGTCCCTCTGCAGGCGCCTCCGTCGCAACCTGTACGTGGTGGTGCAGCGCAGCCAGCCGGTGATGCGGTACAACGCCGCGGACGACAACTTCCTGCCCGATCTCAACCAGCCCAAATACATGCCCGGCTCAGGGTACTCCATGTTGCAGGTATGTAGGGAAGAAGACGTTCTGGGTGCGGAGGAGGTATCCGTTACTAGCTGTCGCCACAGTTGTGAGGCCTGCCCTGCCCGGCGCTGAAAGGCAGTGACACTGCTGCTTTACAGAAGCTTCCACGCCAGCCTTGCAAGTTACCGTGTTTTATCTTGTCGTGACCCAACCCTAGCACCGCCGCTACGCTCCTTCCTGCACGTGCAGCTGCTGTGGCCGGGCCATGCGATGTTCCTCAACGACGCGGGCCAGCTGGAGCGACTGCCGCACAGCCTGATGGACGAGCTGCGCGAACGCAACACAGAGTGAGTCTGGCTTGGCGCCAGCGGCTGTCGCGTGCCCTGCGCTCCAGCAGGCTGGTACTTCTCTCAGCCATGCACATCCACCGGTTGCTATGGGGTTGCGAGCGTGGTTATGCCGTTGTGGTGCTGTGATCCTAGGGTTCGGGTGCAGCACCTAAGCCGCGCGCTACACGCAACCTTGTGATCTTTTTGCACCGTTGCTGTGCATGTCAAAACAGTTTCGAGGGAAGCTGACATTGCCCAGCCCTTTAGCCGACCGCCTGGACCCGCCTGCTGACACCCGCATCCGCCTTGCCCGCAACGCCGCAGGTGGTTTGTGAGCCGCAACGGCCAGGACCTGTCGCTGCTGATGGACGACGGAGCACTCGACATGCGCAGCCTGGCAAACGTCTGCTGGATGGTGCGCCGCCGTGCTAACTCGCAGTCTTCCCTCGAGTCCTTGCTCCTCAAACTCTTGTCCACTCTACCCTTGATTACTCTTAACTAAACCCTATGCGATACCTTTCTTCGCTGTCTCAACCATGTTCAGGAGCATGCCACGTTTACTGACGTACGCTGCCGGCGCAGGGCTACCGGAATCCGTTCGCCGGTGTCCCGTCCTTACCATGTGGCCCGCCCCCTGTCCCTGTTCTTTCCCACCTGCAGTGGAACACGCCCCACCTGCGCTACAGCCTGGCGGTGGAGGCGACGTCCACGTACGTGAAGCACCGCGACCTGATCGCCCAGTATGGCAGCGTGCTGCTGTGCCGCAAGCCCAAGGTGGTGGGCATGGTGATGGGGCGGCTGGACGGAGCGGTGCGGCTGGACCGCTACACCGCCGGCACCAAGCCGCAGCTGCCGGTGGTGGAGCTGATGACGTGCGAGCTGAACAGCGCGCACATGCAGGAGGAGCTCAGCCAGATTGCCGCGTCCCGCGCCACGACCACGTCCGTCGGGTTAGGAAGGTGGGGAGCTGGGCGGGACATGACAGGTGCTGGGCTAGGCTCTTGGCTTGCCCTCTAGTTCCTCCGCTTTCTGCGCTGCATGCTTGCTATAACACGCCTAACCATACTCCGTGTTTCGTTTTCGTATGCAGGTACATCTTCCGCTTCGAGATCCTGGCCTCGCTGCTCACCGGGCCCACCGTGCTGCGGCCCAAGCTGCTGCCCGCCGTGGACGTCAAGGCGCTCGAGGCGTGGGACGCGGCAGGCTTGAACCGGCCACTGGGCATAATGGAAGACGTGGGCCCGCCTGCCGCTGCGCCCATAACCTCCCTCGCGGCCGCCGCCACCGCCGCTCAGGCCGCCCCCGGTGGCGCCATGCAACCCTTCCCCATCGCCGGCGCTGTGAGCGAGCAGCAGCTGGCATACGCCGCGTCGCACGGCATGGACACCATGTTCATGCGGCTGCACCTGTCCATGAGCGACCTGACCATGCATCATGCAAGCAAGGTGGTGGCGTTGAAGGCGCACCGCCTGCCCGTCTTTGTTCGCGGACCGCAGGTGGGTTCATGCGAGGTTAGACTGAGACCCTAACTTCATGTTAGGCATTGAACCTATATACCTATTCGAGCGTATCACTGCGTTGCACAGTGTTGCATGGGAGGACTGATGCTAATGGCGTGCTGTTCATAAGCTCCCCCGCACGCTGTTGCCTGTCACAGGACGCCCCCGCGCTCCTGGAAGTGCTGAGCCGCTCCGACCAGGACCTCCTCAGCGCCAAGCAGCGCCTGGCGGCCAAGCTGCCCTCCTTCACGCGCCAGCAAAAGCCCGGACAGAGCTTCCTTGTCTTTGTGCAGGTGGGTGCGGCAGGCAAGCGAGTTCCGGTATGGGGACTGGGTCCCTTCGAGCACCTGTTTCTGCCACCCAACTCGCCCTTCCCTGCTTATCCGGACGCCTTACAAGTTACAACGGTGCTCTTTCTGCCCGGCCACACGTCTGTACCTTTACCGCAGGACAACAGCGTCAGCCTGACGGCGACCAACGTGGCTGCGGGGCTGGCGCGGCGCGAGCGCGGCGACCGCATCCACCTGGTGACGGTGGTGCCCACGGAGGCGCAGCGGGGGGAGGGCGCGGCGCTGCTGGAGCGGCTCATGAAGGCCTTCCGCACGCACGCGGATGTGCTCACCCATGTCCTGGTGGGTCGGTTGCCGAGGCGCATTGGCTAGCACAGGATAGTCAGGAGAGAAGTGTCTCAACGTGGTGCTTGGAAAAGGGGTTAGACACAGTTTTGCATGTCGCATTGGAGCAACAAAGCCAAGCTGACCCTGCTCCTGTGTCCTTCCCGTTATGCTAAACCCCACAGAGCCAGGAAGGGCGCGGCCTGCTGGAATGCGTGGCAGACGTGGTGTCGCAGCACAGCTGCAACATCCTGGTGGTCGGCAGCACCTCAATCACCGCCGTGGCGAATGCCGTGGGGCGCAACGCCCCGCTGGTGCTGCCGGCCACGGCCGCCAAAACCCCCGGCACGGCGGGTCCCGGAGCGGGTGCGGCGGGGCGCGCCCCCGCTGCTGGCAACGGTGGCGGGCAGGGTACCATCAGCGGCGGTCTGGACGACGTGGCGAGCTCCGAGCTGCTGGTGTCCTCGGTGGCGCTGTCCATCCTGCGCACCTTCGCACTGCCCGTCATCCTGGTGACAGCCAACGTGAAGAACTACCTCAAGGTAGGTTCCGCAGCTGAGACTGAGGGCGCCGTGTCCTGATGGCGGCGCGAGGCGCCTACTCCCGCACTGGCCCTAAGGCCGTTGGGAGGGCTCTGCAACTCCATGAGCGCCCCGTTGCCCCCCTGCTGTGCCCCCCCCCCGCAGCGCGTTGCCGTTGATGGAGCGCCCGGCGGGCCCCGCCAGCCCCCTAGGCCGGCGGTGGGCGGTGTGGGCGGCGCCACGAGCGGTCGGCTGCTTGCCATGGCAGTGGTGGAGCGGCACAGCCGGCCTATGATGCACCACCTGGCTCGCTGCTTGCTGGAGCCCATGCTCAGACAGGACGCCGTGACTCTGGCCCAGGTGTGTTGCTGCGGACTATTCATACCGGTATCGTGTCCCGGGCATGCATGATACCGGTGTAGCCCCCCCTGCCAAACGTAGCAGCGTCCTTGAAGTGTTCGGATTCATCGCATGTCCTGAGCCTGGCTTGGCTTTAAGTTCCTGATTCAGTCTCACGTGGGCATCCACGCCGTACGTCTGGGATCTCCGTGCAGGTCTTGCCTCAAGGCATGGCTCAAGGCAACGCCGGCTACGATTCCACGTGCATCCAGGCAGTTGCCCTCAAGACGCTTATGTCCAACTTTGAAAGCATTGCGGCAGGTGAGGACTACACGTTGCGCCAACCACTGTTCATGCGTCAACGGCTTTATCGCTCGAATCAACCCGGGGTTAGCCTTCAGAGCCGTACTTGTCCGTGCCGCAAACCTCCAACCCTGAATTCCACATCTCCCCTGGCTTCCCTGTCCCCATACATGCAGCGAACGACTTCCACACGCCGAACAAGGTGCACGTGCAGGGCGACTGGCACAGCGCGCTGTGCGGCGCCGCTCGCGACCTGGGCACCCAGCTGCTGAGCGTGCAGCTGCCGCCCAACTCCACCAAGTCGCTGCCCACAGCCCTGCTGCAGCTGGTCCGCTCGGCGCCCTGCCCCGTGCTGGTCTACCCGGAGCGGGTGACCATCCCGGGATCCAACGTGGAGGACGAGGAGGGTGAAGAGGACTAATAACACGCGGCGTCCCGTTGGACACACCAGGAAACCCCGGATGCCGTTTGCCAAGCTTCCAGGATGGCTTTTGAACCAAGAGGTTGATTGTGATGGAATGGCCTATTCATGCAGTGTTGTATGGCGCATGTTAGCAGGTTACGGAAAGGGACGCATGGGTTGCGCTCATGCCATAAATGGCTGACCCGATGCTGACGCTTGCTTGATGAATGACACGACACAACCGCACTGGAGGAGTGCCGCGCTCGCGATGTCCGCGTACAGTGGAGGATGACGATGTGCCGTGATACCCTTGTGAATACGTACATAAGAATGTGGATGTCGAGGGCGCATGACCGCAATTCATTTCAAGGCCACTGGCCACTGGCAGGGTAAAGGACTTGAAGGACAAAATCCACTGCTGTTGGAGTTTTGGGGAGGCTGCTGTGTCCTATGGTCGAGGACTAGGCCAGGCCACCTGTGTTTTCTGGCAAGGCTATCCACTCGTGCACACAATACTGAGGTTGGCTTCATGCAGAGCATCTTACAACCTGGAAGGTGGTCCCGGAATGCCGGGAAGCCTACCCTGGCCGGCCATTGAATTCTTGTGCAGCTCTGTAACGCACGATGCGACAAGGAATTGACATCACCGTATTCAGGAAAAAACATCATGGCCTCTTGCAACCATGACAACGCCAACCCGCAGGGCCCCCAATGGGAATTTCTCGCCGTTGAAACAGGTTGAAAGGCAATTTCTATTGCTTTACGTTAATTGCTAACGGGATTACAACAAATCAACCATGAACTCCAGAAGTCGTACAAGGGCGTGGCAATGCCCGTACAATTATGCAACTGCAGATAGCTAACAAGCACGTTGCACGGAGATTCTGATTAGGCACCTGGGAAGGTCACCAAGAAAGGGATTCTAAAAGAAACTAACTATATTTACACAAACAAAACAAAAAGAGTGCTTCCCGAAATGTTGTTCTAGTTTTGTTTCATCGAACCATGTTGAGCTCTTGTACAATTCTTCACACTAAAGGAAAGGGGCAAGAGAACCTGCCTCTGGATGGAACATTTGGGTTCAAACTTGTGCCTCTAATAGGGGAACGGGATTAAGCTCAGCCTCCCATGACCCATGGGTCATGTCGGGAACATAAACGTGCAGCAATGTTGTACAAAGTTTGCGCCGTACCTATCAATGCCGTAGCGCCGGCACCACTGCCTGCTCCTGGAGCTCTAGCGCCGGCACCACTGCCTGCTCCTGGCGCTCTAGCCGCCCCGGCACACATGTCACTGGGAGCACAGCCCAGCATCTCGCATATATGACAGGATATACCGGTAGACCACCTGATTGCTTTCCAGCAGACAACAACACAACATTACCGGTGACCGTCCTACATCAACAGCCGCATGCAACTCACACAGCACTGTGCATACCGTAGCCCCATCAGCGTTGAACTAAGGGCGCTATTAGCAGCCGCAAGCCCGCAACTACGCAACTGCAATGGGTCCCTCCATCATCATCCCGGTGTAGCACTTCGCTTGCCAACCTCAGTTGCTTCGAAGCTGCCTACGCATGCGCTCCGCAAACACCTTGCGGGTGTAGTACTCAATGGCTGCGGCCGCGAGCACGCTGGCCGCCATGAATGCCGCCCCGAAGCGGAGGCCGCGCGCCCAGCTGCCCTGTGCCTGCGCGACCACCTGAACGACGGGGCCGACCACGAGGGAGGATGCGAGCAGCTGCGTGCGGGGAGCCACCTGGGAGGGGCAAGGGGAGCGGCAAGGGGAGCGGCAAGGGGGGCACACGTGAAGCCTGATGCCGGGTGTCAATGCAAGGCTGGCCATGGCTGAGCTTCGTTTGTGCCGCAGATGATGTCCAATCCCAAACGGCAAACGGTCATAACGGCAAACGGTGAAATGGCAAACGACAAGCTCTGCAAATGCACCCACTCCACGTAGCCAACCGCCGGTACGCAGACCGCAGCCCGCCGGACTACTGCGGTGTTGGGAAGACCCGCGCACCCGGCATTGCGTTCCCCCTCGACCGCTGCGCATCATGGCCTCACCTGCATCGATAGCGGCAGCCACAGCACGTACAGCGCGTGTATGAAGGAGCCGCTGCTGTCGCGCCAGAGCTGCGGCACGGCCAGCCGCACCGGCCGCCCCAGCAGCCGCCCGCTCAGCGGCAGGGGCAGCTGCGCCAGCTGGGCGGCCAGCAGCAGCGCCTCGGCGCCGTAGAACAGCAGCACGGCGGCGTTCCAGAACCTGTGTAGCGGAGGAGGGACGTGCACAGTGTCCCGTAACGAAGAAGGTTAACGACATCCAATCCAAGTTCCATCTGGGATGCAAGGGCGCGTCAGGGGCTAAAGGGGCGACAGAGACACAGCGAACGGACATGCGGGTCCCGAGTTCCTGGTGGCAGCCCCCGTCGCACTGGCAGCCAGCCGCCCGAGCGCACGCACCTGGTCACCCCCCTCAGAACCACCAGCAGCATCGTCGCAGCTGCCAGCAGGTACACGACGTTGGAGGCAAACTCTCCTCCCGGATGCGGAGGAGTCTCGTCGCCGCCGCTACCAGCCGCCAGGTACAGGACCCCGCCTCGCCCCCAATCCCACACGCTGCGGCCCAGCAGCACCGCCCGCACAGCCAGAATGACCCCCAACCCCGCCAGCTCCACTCGCCGCGCGTGGAGGCGCTTAAAGGCCCGGTAGGCGGCCTGTGCTTGGGCGGCGGCGTCAGAGGAGGGCACGGCAGAGGGGCAGGCAGCGGGACCTTGTGCTGAGGAGGAGGAGGAAGCGGCGGTCAGTGCGGGGTGCAACTTGCTCGGGAAGCTGCTGCTAGTCAAGCTGCCTGCGCCGCTTTCCTCTTCCGCTGTCTGCTGCTCCGCCGTCTGCTGCTGCTGCTGCTGCGGGTGCTGCAAGGTACCGGTATGTCTGCTCTGCACGCCGCCGCCCCTGCCCCTGCCTCCACCACTCCCGCCGCCGGCCCCCCCCGCACCCGCTGCCCCCTGCAGTGCCGTACGGCAGACGTCCCGCACCGCCGCCATGCCCTGCTGCTCCAGGTAGGACAGCAGCGGAGGAGCCACCTGGGACAACACACCCGCGGCGGGAGGAGGCTGGGGCCCGGGGCCGGAGGCACCCTGTGGGAGCCATGATACGGCTCGGGGTGTACGCGCCTGTTCAGCGGCAACGGACGAAGGCTCTGCCTTTGGAGCGCTGACATGCACCTGTGCAACAGGCAGAGGTTCCGGGCATGCGGGCTGCGACTGCCGCCTCTGGAATTGAAGTACTGTGCCGATGTCAACAAGCAGGTCGTGGATTCCTTCTTCATATGCGGCACAGGCGGCGCCAAAGTCCGCACCTGCTGCGGGCTGCAGGGCGACGTCGGCTTCCCTGCCCTGCCGTACGTCGCCCTCATTCCGATTCACCGCCTCGCCTCGCAGCTCGTCAAGCGCCTGTACGACACGCACGGCAGCAGCAGCCGCATCATCGCCCGCTGGGGCTGCTAGGGGACCAGACGTGCCGCTGCCGCTCCCAGGTTGCCGGTGCAGGCAGCCGGCTAGCAGCCTGCCGTACAGGTCCCGTACCTCCGCCACCGCAGCCGCCTCCGGTAGGACCAGCAGCGGCAGGGTGGCCAGGATCGCGTCAGTTTCTGTATAGGCCGCTTCGACAATGCCTTCCTCCTCGCCATCCCTGCCTCTTCCGCCGCCCTCTGCCTCGCCTCCGCCCATGCAGCTGCCCTCCTCCCCCTCAACCCCTCCGTCCCCGCCGCCTCCGCCGCCACCGCCACCTGCCTCCGCCAGCACATGCATCAGCGCCAGACCCGCACTCGCCGCTAGCCAGCCGCCGGGGACAAGCAGCCTGAGGGGGAAAGTGAAGGGGACAGATGAAACTTGACAGCAGTAGGGCCGTGTTTCGCTACAGCATGTCAAGACTGCCTGCGAGGACGCAAACATCAGGCGAACTTGCTTGGTACAGTCGGCGACTTATGCAAATTAAATAAATGGGGGTTCGTGAGTGGTCCCAGGTGGACCGGACAATGGGACTTGTTGTGGGTTCCGCTGTAACGCTGGGAGGTAGCGAGCAATAAGCCCTGATACCAGCTACGCAGCAAAGGCCTCACCGGAAAGCTGCATGGCTGGAGTCCCCTCCATCCGGACACACCACTCTCCCTGCCGCCACCTCAGCAGGCAGGTACTCCTTCCGCATCCCGCCCAGCTGCGCCGCCAAGTCCATCACCAGCTGACCCGTGGGTCCCACCACCACCAGCCGCGCCGCAGCCAGCCCCTCCAGCAGCCGGCGGTCCAGCAGCAGCAGCAGCGGCACCCGCGACCCAGACCGCTCCGGCTCTGCAGCAGGCAGCAGCCCCCGCTGGGCAACCGCCAGCGGCCATAGCATGGCAGACCCAGTGACCTCCGGCCCCGGCAGTGGCTGCTGCGAGGTAAGGCTCCAGGCTTTCTGGCTGGCGCCGACTGCACCCTCGCTTGCAACACTGGCCCCAGCAGCCGGGGCACCTGCTGCGCCACCAGCGTGGCTGGAGGTTGCGGCGTCCAGGAGCCTGCTGACACCGGCCGCAGCCAGCACCGGCTGCAGCAGCGTCCTCAATGCCCTGTCAAGTTGCGCCTCACCTTGGGCCGCTGCTGCGCCCTCGCTGCCGCCGACGACGTCGCTGCTCACCCGAACTTGCATCTCCCGCCGAAACGGCCGCCGTGGTGCTACCGCGGCCCCTCCCATGCCTCCAGCCCCAAGCGACAGCGCCAGCAGCAGTTGCACGCAGCCCGGAATGCACACGCCGGAAAGGCCCATGGGTGGCGGCTGCCCGGACACCGCCGCCGCCGCCACTGCCTGATGCATCCTCACATCCAATCGGCCGAGCACTGCCCTCGCGGCCGCCTCAAACTCCGCGTCGTGTGCAGCGGCGCGGGGCGGATACGGCGAAACCTTCAGGCTGAAAAGTGCGACCCGGCGCCCAGATCGATACAGACAGGAGTCGGCAGTCGCGGCAGCCATCGGCCGCTGCAGCAGATTTAAGCGCTCCGCTGCCGGCGCTGTCGTCTGCTTACCGAGCTCGGGGGCCTGAGTTGAAGGCGCCAGGTAACCAGCTGCGGCTTCCCTGCCGGACACAGGGGGGCCATCACCTGCTGCGCCGTGTGCCGGACTGCGGCTCCCAGCCGGGCTGCTGCCTCCGTACACCGTGTCCGTTGTTCCAACCGCTCTCCAGTTGCTGCAGAAGCTACGCCGAGATGCTGCTTGGGCACTTGCGCGGTGAGAAAGCAGCTTGGACGAGTAGTAATGCCATACTCTGGCAGCGGCATATAGGGTGACGGCAAGCAGCAGGAATGTTCTCGCAGTAGATGCCCGTGTCCAGCACTGCGTGACCCGTGGGTCATCGTCGTCAGGACGGAGGAGGCGGTCGATCTGCTCCAACTGGAAGAGGCAGACTAGCCAGACGACTGGCCCCAGGTACGCTCCCAACCCCGGGCAACGAAAGAGTCGAAATTGGATTGCTTGGAGCTTGCGCCCGCTGCAAGCATTTAGGGCGGTCCGGCCCGTTGCGCTATCCAACGTCATGTTAGGAGCCGGAGCTCGGAGCGCTCCAGACGGTACAGAATTACTATATTCTGTGTGCCTATGGAGGCAGTCGAACCATTGTGCATAAAGCAGATCGCTGGGTTGAAAATAGCAGGCCAAATG